AAAAATTGTTTTCTGCTTTGATATTTGAAGAGGCATCTGAATCTTAACTTGTCACATAGGGCTGCTTGAGTGGGACGCGTTGGTCTCAGCTTTAGCATCGTTTTTAAAACTAAAGAGTTAATGTTGTAATGTTGTTTTCAACCTGACCGTGTCCGTCTCAACCCAACCAAACAGTTTTTGTGTCTATACCTAAAAAAAGAAGCTTTGCTTATGGAAGTCAAGCAGAAATGATTCATTGTCTTTGAATTGGGGATTTGGGGTGTATGATATGGTTGGGTTATTAGGTGATTGTATCACCTGTCATCGATTGGCTGAGCCCATTGGTTGCTGGGTTAGCAGTTGCATGGACTTTTTTTGGTCTGGCTCTTTGATGCTCAGGAGAACCTGTGAATCTCCATTCATAGCCTGAATCTCATAGGATATTATACTACGAACTCAATCACAATGTTCTCACCTCTTTTAAAATGAGGAAGTTACAGTTTCTCTGTGCATACAGTTACATTTTAAATATGTTTTAATCTGAACGTGATTACAGACTACAAAACAAATGATCCCAGTCTGAAATAAAAAATTCCAGTGCCCATATATTATTAAAGTTTAAACCGCAGGTCAATATAACAATACATTTTTAAGATGTTGTAGTTGTTTATGTCTATTGTGTTTGAAGGAGCTGTTTTGCTGGTTAAATAAAAGGCGATAGCATCTCTTCAATCCTTAGACATAAGTTCATCTTCTCAGAAGCTTCGTTTTTGCAGTGTTTGGAGCTGGTTTCCTGCTGTGATATGCGAGCTGTCGTTGTCTTCTTCAGAGATAAACCTTTGGCATGTTTTACAAAGCATCATTTTGCTAATCTGCTGTGTCTCTATGCTGTAAGCCTCTAAGGGCAGCCAAGGATGTTAGAATTTAATGATGCATGTCCTTCCATATAAAACGGTGATTCAGACTGGGCTTCCTTCACTTCCAGAGAAAAACAAAGCTATTAAGGATGGAGACTGGCATGGTGTCATGTGATGAACAGACAGAGGGAAGTTTCCCTACAGCCATGATGTGAGAGGGCAATGAAGCTCACCCTGAACCCTCCTGGCCCCGTGTGACAGTAGGGCTAGAGTCCCACAGTGAGGCCCAATGTGGCAATACATCACACAGCTCCAGCTTGCCCAAGAGCAAACCATGCTGGTGTTGGGGAAAGGACAGCTAGAGGACAATGTGGGAGATGAGATAAGAGAGATGAGAAGGGAAGGCAGGAAAGATGGCTGCCAAAGGCGCACAGGTTCAGACAGGAAGCAGCCACTCTCGCTTCGTTTCCTGTTAGGAAGAGCAAGAACGGTCATGGGGAGAACGTCAACAACTCGGTCCTGGGTTTTCACAGAGGAAGGTAGGATACACAGCAGAGAATTACAGCCCAACATGAGACTCGGAGAAGAGATTCAGGGTGTATGTTTTGTATAAAGCTTCCTACAGGAGGCTCCCAGACCAAAGTGTTGTTGTGACCTCTGGTGTTTTCTTCGGTGTGCTTCATAGTTTCTCTACACAAGAATGCAAATATTTAAAGTTTATTTAAAGTCAGATTTATTGGATTATTTATCTTGGGTATTTATTTTTTTTTGCTCTGTCCTTCATTAACAATCGAAACAATGGTGTGTACTTAATAAATTACTGTTTAATTTTTCAAATGAAATAGTAACAGTAAAAACCAGATAACTTTTCGAAAGAAGTCCTCTAGACATCCAAAGTCTAAGTAAGCATGTCAGTCAAAAGAAATGTGATAAAAGTTTACCAAATTGACAAATACCGAACTGTAAAGGTTTTTATTTTAGCTTTCCAAATTCAAAGGTCTCATTTTTACTAGTTCCAGTATGATTTAATTAAAATGACCTTGGTAGATACTCATCACATTAAACATGGGAGTTAGCACAAAATGCTAATTTGGCTTTTCATCTGACTAGAAATGTCAATGTGTGGTTTTAAGGAGAAGTTACATTCTGAAACTGTTTCTCAGCAAACCACATCTAGGTGCTAGCACCCCATCCCCCACACCTTCTTAACCTACATACACACCTTATAAGCTTTGTCAAACAACCCCTTGTGTTTAGTTACTGGACAACTTTATGCTCGACTCCAGTGTGATGGTGAAGAATGAGAGTCCTGAACTGTGCAGCTATCTGGCTGTAAATGCTGAGCAATGCTCGGTCCTGACCTCATTCAGTTACACTCAAGAAACCTGACTGCCAGACGCTCATCCTTTAAAACCCACTGAACTGTTTGAAGAAACTCTTTCAAGTTGAGCTCGTTTCATGCATGGTGCACCATCAAAGTGCTCACAAATACCTAACAGGATTACAGAAAGAGATAATGTCCATCTTTGCTTCCTCCCTGAAGTTGAGACTGGGAATGAAACATCTCCACATGATTAAATATTTACAGTTTACACTTTAACGCTGGTCAAGACTGTTTGGAGCTGTGCTGCCATCCATCGGGCCATGAACATAATGCATCCCACAGTTGCCACAGTGATGAGGGGGTCAGAGCTTTCCCCTGATTTGTGTATAGAGAAAATTATTAAATTTAGGAATTAGTGCTTTGTTAATGTGCGTGTTGTATTTTTGAAATACGCTGAAATCTTTGTTATTTCTTTTTATTATCTCGATGGAAATTGTGCAGTGCAAAAGTCGTAAACCACAATGGGAAGCATGCAAACATACATGGAAATTCAGTATTGTGGTAAAACCATACGACAATTTTGACAAGATCTCTAACACCACTGTCTGAAATGCAGCTTCAAACCATGACAGAGCCTCCACTGTGTTTTACAGCTGTAGACTGTAGACAATCACTGATCAGCCGAAGGTCCAGATGCATCTCTGTGGGTCCTGTGTCAGGTCTCTGCCTGAACTTTTCCTATTTCTTAAAGAGATGATTTTCAGATACTGTTCATCTACTGTACTTTTTTTTTTTAGGCCTGGTACTTCTTCTTTGTCACTCCACTTGTATGGTTTTCTCCCATTTTTTAAGGACTTGCTGCACATGTGCTGAGAAACACAATGTTTTTTTGCTAGTAACTCTTTGGAAATCACGTTGGTGCAAGAGTAATATTATGATATATTATGCTATTACATGGTAGGTTTGCTGTTATTCTATATCATGCCTGTCAACTTGCTATTTTGAGATTCGGCTAAATATAATAGGAAAACGTGATGTGTTTTTGCAACAGGCTGCTGTAGGAAAGTGCCTGAAGATGTTATATTTAGAAACACCAATGGCTCATCCCTTGAGTCAGGTGCTTTTTATTGTAGAATATTTCACAGGTCAGTGTTCAAGGACTGAGCTATGAAATTGTCCAGTCAACTGGACTAGAAATGGGTGAAAACGCAGAAAGACCGTTAGAAACCCTGGAGAACTATTGCTCAAGACCCTTTTTTTAATTACAACAAACTCTGGCTCACTTGAAGCAAAATTTAAAGAAACAAGAGGTGGTTTTTACCCTTTTGCATAGTGCTATATAAGAAAGCAAGTTGGCAAGCTGTGAGCAGACATGGATGTGACTGGCTGAGAAAGTTGTGCACGGCTGACTGACTGAAGACGTGAGAGACACAGGCAGCTGGCTCATTGAGCAGTCATCTGTAAATGTGTGTGTGTGTGTGCGTGTGTGTGTGTGTGTGTGCGTGGTTCTAAAGACGCTCCAAATAAAATTAGCTGTCGAGCCCAGTCCTTTAGCAGTCTGCAGCAACGACTCAAGGTCAGACTTGCTGATCCTGCTGATGCATTTTATTCTCCGGAGCCAGCATCAAGCTCCCGGGTGAGGGTTTACTGCTGCCCACCAACCCTCTACTCATTCCCACCCCCATTCATCCTCGGCACACACTCCCTTCCCTCCATTATCACCCTGGTCCTCCCTGGTTTGGGAGTGTGCATTTACCCGTTAAATTAGGTGGGGGAAGGAGGGGATGACGCTTTCGGCTGGAGTGCCTGGATACCCGTGCTGACGTGTGGCGGGGAGATGGATAAGCTAAGGTGTCCTAATTTCCCATGTGACTACAGTAATTGTGTTATAATGGAGGTGGGAGCTGAGTGGTCATCAGCAGACGGACAGAAGTACAAAGCTCCTGGCTTTATGCCCCCCACCCCCTTACCGTTCAGACGGACACAGCAGGCATTGTGAGCATGATGTGGCCATGCATGCAGTTTACGACACAGCAGGAGCTTCAAAGGTTGAGTGATTGGACTATGTGTGCACCCCAGTTTGTTATCGCTTCAGGCAGAAGGTGAACTCTTATACCTCATCTCCTTCGGTTGGTCAAGTTGGCGTCTCAACACTTGTTAGCTCACTTGATGAGCTTTACACAGAAAAGCTGCGGATCTCCTCAGGCTAATGTCACAGGCAGTTTCTGTCTATTTATCATCCAAACAGTTATTCATTTATTCATTAACTGTTAATTATAGCGGCACACAAGCGAGCATACATCACCAAACTGTGAAAGGCAAACCCATGTTCTATTATCTATTATTTTTTCTCATTAAATTAGCACCATCTCATTTTCGGCCTGTGGTGAGATCAATAATTGAAATACATTAAAGGGGCACTCCAACAAGCTTCTCATTATGTGTGGTGAAGCCTGTGAGTATGACTCATGATAAGTAACCGTGGTGATACATAGGGTTACTTATGCAAACTTTTAAAATCTCCATGCAGAGGCACAGACGTCATTAGAGAAGTGATTATGCATTAATGATCCTTATGATGTCATCAGGTTTTTCAGTTTCTGGGCTCCTTGTTTTTCAATCTGGAGGTGTTGGCTTTGATGCAAAAGAGGTTTTGTGAAGAAATCTGAATTGAATATTATGGACAATGTGATGCATTATGGGATATGGGATTTTCGAGGAGTCCCCCCCGCCCCCATTTCTTTTCTACATGCTAATTTTACTGGAGTGAAACATGTTATAAGCTTTCTGAATACAAAGCCGTCCTCACGTTACTTCTCTTCTCTGTTGATTCCTCTTAGGCACCATGAGACCAGTCCAGAGGAACTTCTATGATCCGTCATCTGCCCCAGGGAAAGGTGTGGTGTGGGAGTGGGAGAACGATAACGGCTCATGGACGCCGTACGACATGGAGATCTGCGTGACCATCCAGAACGCCTATGAGAAGCAGCATCCCTGGCTGGACCTGACCTCTCTGGGCTTCTGCTACCTCATCGACTTCAACAGCATGTCTCAGACCAACAGGCAGAGCCAGAGAAAGAGACGCCTGCGGAGGCGCATGGACCTGGCCTACCCGCTCATCATGGGCTCCATCCCCAAGTCCCAGTCTTGGCCTGTGGGCGCCAGCTCTGGCCAGCCCTGCTCCTGCCAGCAGTGCATCCTGGTTAACAGTACAAGAGCTGCCTCTAATGCCATCCTGGCCTCCCAGAGACGTAAACCCCACGGGGGGACGGCGGGCAACGCAGGCACTGCAGGGACCCATACCGTAGTGCGGCAGAGCAATACCTTCGCCGGTACTTCATTTTGGTCTCAAACATCCAGCTCCACCGGCACAAACAACAATAACATTAGCCTGGGAGGTGGACAAGCTAAAGCTGAACAGGTGCAGTTGCCACTGTCCGCTGCCAACTTCCCCTGTTCCCCCGTGATGCCATCTCTTTCATCTGCCCATGGCCACCACACTCTCACCATTAACGGACAGAACAATCTGAACCGTCCGGGCACCCAGCGCATTTCCGTGGGGACTGCCAGAGGAGCCATCCCAGCAGGGTAAAGATTTTTTATTGTACACAAGAGGCAAATGCACACAAAGGCATTGGCCTCTTTTCCTAGCTCAGATTTTCTGGAGTCGGCAGTGGCCTTTCACTCGATATAACGGAGGCATAATGCTCAGATTCAGTTGAATTTACAGTTCCACAGAGGCAACGGGTGGATATTAAAAGCCAAGAGCCAATTTTCATGTCTGCTACACAAAAGCGTCACCCTGAATCCGTGCTGTATATTCTGTCTTTCTCTCCCTCTTTCTGCTAATTTATAACTACTGTTGTTAACGTGCCGATCAATGAACCTGCAGGATAAAAGTCCAGCTGATTCTCCTCTGGCCCAGCTGGCCGAGGAGGAACCCTTTTCCTCCATATGTGTGCCCGCCATGGTTACTGCTCCATAACGAGCTTATGTCGGCCCCCGATAGGCGTGAAATGCTGCAGCCTCCGTTGGATCCCTCTGTTGCTTCTGCTTTGAAGTAATTTGTTGCTCTCACACTTCGCTATGGTTGTTGTGTCACGGGATGTGAAAAGACAGTTTGACACTGTATGTGGATGATCTGAACGCGTGTTTATCTGCATCATTATCTGCATGTGTGTGAACGCGTGTGCTCCGGCGTAGCTGTGGAAACCTATTTGCCATGGAGGCAGAGCTCCACTGGGGAAGCATGAATAATGGATCAAGGAAAAACGGGAGCTTCGGCAGAGCGCTCTGACCTCAGAGCGATTCAGAGAATGGAACCAAGGAATAGAAGTGTGCTAGCGTTGTAACCGATACTTCAGTGCCCCCCATCCTGCTTTCTTTTGCTAAAATAAACCCTCTCCTGATCTAATTTGATTCCATTTTGTTCTCGCCGCTCATGGGGAGAGACACACTTACTGCATGTTTGAATAACACCGTCCTGGACACACATGCTTTCACTTTGTGGCCTAATTCAGTGTCACCCCCACCCCATCCTCACCACAGCAGGTCATGACTTTGTTTGTGCGACGTACTCGGTGATGCTTCGTTCTGCATTTCAAGAATTCAGTGACAGCTCAGGTGTTCAGAGCTGTGGGCGAAATGTGACTTCTTCTTCTTTTCGTATTCTTTTTTACCTCACAGCACAATGAGTTTCTTACGAGACAGTGAGAGCTAGAGTGAGGGAGAGGAAGAGACCGAGGGGGTAAAAGGCGGAGCGCGTCATGTTCCCAGGCGAGTGGCTCGACGCACAGGATGAGTGTGGTTAACATACACACAGCAGGACATGAGAGCTTGCAAGCGCACAGACACAAACTGAAACGTGAACTCCCTCGCATATTCCCACAAGCCTGCTACAGACAGATAACAGAGTAACCCACACAGAATGTAAAACATCAGATCTGTGTTTTTTTCACACGCCCACGCTCTAATATAACTGCTGGGTGCACAGAAGGTATTTGGCACATTGTGGCTCGTTCACATGACTCTATTTCGCTGTTTTATGTATGCAAACGAGGTAGCCACTATGGATGAATCAGGCAAGGTGTACTTCAAGCCACCAGCGAGAAAAGCTGCACGCTGGTTTTCGAGACAACGCATTTGTTCCCGAGTCCATTGATGATAAAAGGCCAGATATCGATCTTTGTATCTTCTGAAAAGAATACAGGTTGTGGTTGTCAAAGCGGGGGAGGGGAGGGGGGGAGTGTTTAATGCATCTGTGTTACGTGTGAAAACATCACAAGTGGCACCATCTGCTGGCTTGTGTCAACACATCAGTTTATCTTATTACAGAGCAGCCCACATATCGCCACCTGTGCAGCTCAGCGACAGATGCAGACTGCCATAGTTTTTTGTTTCTTCTCATCACACTGTTGCATGAGCTGGAAGCAACACTGCAACTGTCTATTATTTTATTAATTATTATTATTAGATTATTTTCTTTGCTCACTGGTTGAATTGCTTGTTTTGGGTTTTTTTTTTTTAAACTGATGCCCAAAAGATATTCAGTTCACAGTGATGTAACTGGGAGAAATTAACTGACTATTTTTAAAATCAGTTCATTAAATAATACTGAACCTAGCTTGCATCATCTTTATAGATATTTCATGATATTTATGAATTCATTAAATATTTGCTGGTAAAAGAGCTGTTCGTGTTGATCTCTTTGAGTCAATAGTCTTGCATCATTTATGTGCAGCACCATGTTGCGTATATCTAATCGTTCTCGAGTATTTCACCCTTAAACCAAACTCACCATCGACACGTCGAAAAAGGAACCACAGCAGGTTCTCGCTATGAGATTTATCTTGTCGTTGTGTGTTTACGCATAGATACGAGAAATGTTAACGACGAATCGTCTGCCTCTTTAAAAGATAAACAGATATCATTTGTAGCGGAATGAACAGAGGAAGAATTTCACAAGGCCTCTGGGGATTTTTTTGTTTTGTTTTCTTTTGTGTTTTTTAGGCCTCCGTTGTCAGTCAAACCACTTCCTCTTGTGCACTTTCTCTCCGCTCGACCGGGTTAAGCCCTGCGCTGCAGGTCTTTAGTTAGAGCTGCTTTATAGTATTGCTTTCAGTTCTCTGACAGGTGAAAGATGAAAGGTAAAAAAAAAACAAGGCCTTGTCTTCATGAGCTGAAAGAAAGAGCTTTTTAATTGGGTGCGTTCCCTCGCTGCTATCGGCTGTGTTTACGAGCTGCTCGTGTTAAGGAGCCAGCCTGAGTTTTGACTGGAGGCCTGAGATCATTATCCCTCAGTGTGTTGCTCTGCTTCTCCTGCTCTGGCACTCCCCTCATGATGAAAATTGTTATTAAAATAAATGGAAAAATCCCGAGCCAGAGTTTTGGAAATCGTCTGTGCCATCGTTGCTTATTTTCAGGGCATTTCATTGCCACCCACACTGTAGCGGGGGCAAGCCTCTCTCTCCTGCGATACACATCAATATGCAATTAAGCACTCGTGGAGTTCTCTCCATTCGACTCTGTCTTTATAGCGCATAATAAACAGATGAGGAGATATTAGTCCTCCGTCAGCACTTCCTCAGCGAGGCTTAATGTGGTCTCTTTATTTTGGGAATCACATCTGATTAAGTCCTCAAGGCAGCTGGGAGATTCCCTCCAGAGAAGAAGTATTACTCTGAGCAGGAGATAGAGGAGGAATAGTGACCCTCATGCCCATGATCTGCAAGGGGCCTTTATTACTGTGGTGTTGATGGATGAGCTTGTGGGAGGTGGGTTTATTACTAAATTACATTGGTTTTGGGTTAGAAATTACAGCCTTAGTTATAAGAAATGCCACTCGGACACACTGTCGAAGGTTTGGGCAAAGATAGGCTCAGGTTAATTTTTACTTCATGGAGAGAAGGGAACAAAGAAGTGAACACAAGACAGGAGGATGAAAAGAATTGGAGTTGTCAGCGTAAAAGCAATCTAGAGGTGACAAGGTTCAGTGTAGTTTGCTGAATGTGGAAAAGGTCCGCGCTTGTTTACGCTGACAATGAGTTATAATTGCTCTCAAGGTCTGAGCACAAGCCAACAGAGCCCATTGTTGAGGATCATTGATTGTTTTAACCCTAAAGTGGCTGTTTTGGTGAGGACAACTCAGGGTTTTTAACATGAATGTTGGCGTTTCTTGATGAAATAATCAACATCAAAAGTTATTCCGTGTTCGAGATTTTTAGCGTCATGTGGTTTAAGGCGCGATTCAGAGGCACAGGGTTCACTGATTTCAGAGGTTCCCATTTCTAAATGAAAAAACAAGAAAGGCAAGAGAATTGTGTACAAAAGGAGACAGATGTCCACAGCTGTACACTGGCTACAGGTTGTCTGGCTGCCAGTTTAATGTGTAATCAGAGATTTGAAGGAAAGAACGCGCTCCAAGATGTGCGTCTATGTGTAGGAGTGCGTGTCTTTCTGGTTAGGTGATAAGAATTATCAATAGCATCTAATGTTTGTGTGTTTTGTGTTTCGGCTTGTGTAGATTTTATCGTACCACGGAGTTTCCATCTTTTTTTGAGATCTTCTCTAGAATCTATATGCAGTACAAATGAAACTAACTAATGTCTTGTTCTAGTACAGATCCACTGCTGTGTGTGCTTTTAGTTTGTCCACAATGAGATGGCGTTAAGGGCTCTTGTGTTGTGTCGTCCCCCTTTTTTCTTCTCATGAAAATGATTTGTTTGATCACAGGACTCTCTGTGAACTGCTTAAATTAAACATGCACTCATAAAGGGAGGCATCTGAAGGATTCTCCCACTGGGTGGCAGTGAATATATTTATTTTTCTTGTTTGTTAGATTACTTTTTACTTTTGTTCTGCTTTTGGTTTTTGGGTTTTTTTTATATAAACTTTTACACTTTCGTACACATTTTTTTATTCCAGACACAGAAAAATAGACCGCCGACCTCTTGACTCAAACTGGTGCTTTCATTGAGTGAAGGGCGGCTGTGTACTGTGAAGTATTGACTGGTTAGTTTTTGTTACACGCGCAGACTGCAGGAGGTGAGTTCGTCTATTAATTCTTCCTCTGTGGCTGAAGGTGTGAAATCACTCACTGGTGTCTTTTTTTGGACAAAAATCAAATCTGACGTGCCCACCCCCCACCTCCCACCCCCCTCTGAATTTGACTTTCTGACATAAGGCATTTATCAGAGCTGCACATCGCTGTATTTTTTTGTTACACTCCAGAACAAAAGCAAGCTGATCCCGGTTTCTGGCCCGCTGGTGTGAGACGCAGCGTATTTGAGTCCTTCCCAGAAATGCAGTGGCACACATCGGCTTCAGTCAGACCTCGTGTCCCTTTGTTATTGCACTCAGCTTATTGAGCGGCTTCCCCTGGTGTAAGAACCGAGTCCCTCACTAATATCAAAGCGCTGTGTTGATGCGGATTTGTGCAGTGCCTAGAGCTACAGGGTCTGACACTTCACTCCTTTCATACAAAGAGCAAAGAGACGTGCGCAGGAGTGTGTGTGTGAAGGTGTGTGTACGTGTTTGTAGTCAATAAACTGAGAACTCTAGTGATTCAGTGAGAGCACAGCATTGAACATCCGGAGATGATGGCTACCTTTAACTCCACGTTATTTGAAACATGGGTTGGTTTAGAAGTGTAGCAGGTTTGCCACAGTAACCACAGGGTTGAAGGTAGTTAGTGCACACATTTCTTTACTAATCACTCCTCCGACAACTGTGCGGCTTCGGAGCGTAATGACTCTGTGCTGCAGTCTGCCCGCACCGAATGCAGGCCAGGTGTGCCACTCTTTCCACCGGCGCACCTCCCTCAGCCGACCTGCCCCACTTCTACGTCCAAGAGCCGAGCCATTATCTACACCGCACCACCACAGTGAGCTGTATTACAGGTGTCTAAGGTTACCTTCCTAAAAAGAGAGAGACCCTGGCTTTGTTCAAAATATGTAGTGCTTGAGAAATTTATTAGACCAACACACAGGGTAAGGCTGATGCCCCAGCTGGCCTAAGTTAACAGCATTGGTAATTACCAACATGTTCCTGTAATGGTTGTCCATCAGTCTGCACAAGCTCTTGTCACACAAGTTTGTTTGTTTCCTGTTAAACAGTTCTTCTACTCTAGATGATTTCTTCCATATAAACACTTTGTCTCTATCTTCACTTGTTGCCAAAGGGCATTAAAGTACAGACCTATATTTTTTTTATTTCCTAAGTGGTGAAATACAAGCTTCATTTTATTCCAGAATCCCATTAATGATATTAATTTCTGGAGGTCTCAATGGAGACATGATATATGATTTTCCCTTGGAGCCACCATTCTCAAAATATCCTCACATCAGTTCATATTGTGACCTAGTCTTCGCGGTTTCTTCTTCTAATGTCATTCTTACCATCAACTCTAATAATATTAAAACAATAAATCTAAAAATGAACAACGGCTTCCTTCTTCGTAAAATAATATGTATGAAGGCCTAACCAAGTGTCCTAGTGTAATTTTTGCAATTTAAGAGGAATTTAAATGGTTATAAAACTTTATTAGAATTTTTTAGTCCGCTTTTCCACCTGTTTGGAGTCTAAACTGTTAACAGGAATAAAAATGTGTGGTTTGAAACTATCCATTTCAAAGTAAAGTGGTTGTTTTCATCACATTGTCTCACACTGGCTTACGTTTGTTTTTTTATAATTGTCTGCTGTCCATTGCTTTCAAATTTAGTAAAATTTACAGGCTGCTTCCTTTAGGAGTCGCCATAGTGGATAACCTGCCTCCATTTTATCCCCGGTTTCCTCTTCTATAACACCAACCCTCTGCATGTCTTCTATCACTACTTCCATGAACCTCTGCTGAGATCTTCCTCTTTTCCGCCTGGAATATGGCAGCTCCATACGTCCTTTGTCCAATACATCCACCATCGCTCGTCTGTACATGTCCGAACCACCTCTGCCTTGCCTCTTTAACTTAAACGCAAATCGCTTGACCCAACCTGTCCCTCTCATGTACTGACTTCTAATGCTGTCTATCCTCGTAGCTCCCAATGAAAATCTTTCCATTTACCCGGGCTTGGGATCAGCACTAAGAGTACATTTGAGTACACCATCACATTTGGTGTGATTTTATTTATTAGGTGTTTTTTAAAGGGCAGTGTAATCTCAGCTTTAATAACTCTTAGTTTGATGGCTTTGTACTTTTAATCCAGGGAAAGGAAACGTGTTCCTGTGCTCTGCTTCGCTCGGGGAAATTTGCGCGCTCATATTAATGCCCCTGTTTTTGCCCGCTGTGCTTCATAGATCTTGAAGAGTGAGCAAGTCAACTGTCTTTGTCGTCTGTGTTTGTCATGAACTTCAGCCTCTCCGAATGTCATCCTGAATCAGACTCTGCGGCAGCGCTTTGCACAAGTCGAGTTGTCTCATCCTACTGCAGTTGTCTTCGTCTTTGTGGTGAAGCACATTTGACATTTTAGCTTGAGTGTTTTTCATGCCACGCAGAGCAGAACTGTCTGCTGCTTTCAGGTTTTTCAGCTGTGGCATAACAAGCAGTTGTACACAAATGGGACCGTTTACCATCCATTTTAGCAGTCGCAGGGTCATTTACAGATTATAAGCTGTGTATTAAATGGACCCGCATGGCGAGAAGCATCTGTCTGTGTGATGTGAGCAATTCTCTTTGTAGAGACCTTTGAGTAAGGGACTGTAACAACACTGTACTTATAATATTACTATTTTTATGCCTTTTCATTTCTTTTTTCTTAAAGGGTTCCTGCACTCCCAGTTAAAAACTTGACTGGTTCTGGACCAGTGCACCCAGCCTTAGCAGGTTAGACCAAATCTGCTGTGCAGCATCTGTTTAGCAATCAGCTATAAATGATCGTTTTTGCTGAGATGAGTAATGTTTGTTTATTTTTCTGTGTGTGTGCCCTACCCATGCGTCAGGTATGACAGGTATCCTGATGTGCGCTGCAGGTCTGCCCGTTTGCCTGACTCGAGCACCAAAACCTATACTGCACCCACCCCCCATCAACAAGAGCGACATGAAACCTGTGCCAGGAATCAACGGCATGCGCCGCAAAACCAAGAAAAAGCACCTAAGAAGAGGTGAGACGGCGGGACCGAACAACAGAATGAATTCAGAACAACAGCACTGTAGTTTGTAGTTTTATAATAAGTGAAGAAATGAGAAATGCACAGATGAGAGAAATCTGCCAACCACTGACAGACCATCTTTGTTCTGCCAAACTTTGCGACATGTTTCAGCCTTCTGAGTGTTGAAACTGCAAAATAAGCCACCAAATAAACTGTTGAGGGATCCATAATTGTTCCATAAGGTTAGCAGTGGCTCAGATTTCACCCAAGTTTGCTAACAGTCAGTTTGAAAAGCATTCCTGTACCTTTCAAAAAGCTCATATATGTATACAGTAAAATAACAACTTCATAAATGTAACACTACATTCAGATTGATACATGAAGACACAATGAAAGGCACAGTTACACTGAGCCGGTTCGAAAGGGCATCTGGTGTATAGTTGGAGAACTCTGGGCCTGAGTAAGTGTTGGTCGATGCAAGCAGTGGAAACCACAGACCTCCCCGGGGAGTTTTTGTATTAATTGAACAGTCAGACTGTTGGATTTCTATCCTTGCACTGCACTTGTCCTCTTAGTCAGTCCTTCAAGCATCTCACCATTGTGAACAAAGATTTTGTTTAGAGATACACCAGTTTGAATTTCCTTCAACTGTGACGTGCCGGTATCAGTATCAGTAAGAACAGCATGCGCCAACAAAAGCATTCCTCAATGCATAGTGTTATTTTCATTATAAAAGAAATTATTAAAGTTTACAAAAGCAAGTGCAACAAATGTCAGGTACTCACATCATCCGCTGTGTTTATAACGTCACCAGATAACAGCCTTTTTTTTCTTTCCTGCTTCTTTAGCTTTAAACAATTTGCCTTTTCTTAGCTTCTTTAAAATCTCCTTGTTCAGTTGAGAGATGGTGATTTAAGTATCCAATTAGGTTTGTTGTTACAACAGTTTTTTGCGGTGGTCCTTATTCAAATTCACCAAAATCAAGCTTTTAAACAAAAAAAACCCCAAAAAACAAGAGCCTATGCTAACAGCTATGTGAGACTACCTTTGGGTAAGGCCTAGAGCTAAGCTAAATGCTAACACAGCTAATATATCCAGACTGCCTGGTAATAGCTAGCTACTGTAGCACTAAATATATAGTTATTAGTTTTGCAAGTACACTTGGCCTTAAACTAGAATTTAAAACATGCTATTAGAAGGTATCTTTTATATGAATGTATTACTATCAAGCCAAGTTGTGCGAAAACTTTAAAAATTGCAAATTCATGACCATATATTTATTTTAGCCTCAACAAATGCTGCAGACTATTACAACACGTTCTCACTCCCAAAACGTAATATTTGATGCTAGGTGACAAATCGTCAACATATTACGCTTCCAGACACTCACCACATCCCAAGTGACAAGATCAGAAAAATGAGGAAACATGAGAACTGTTTGGAATCAATCTCACATGTTCGTTCATTTTACTTAAATCACTTTGGAAAACGCAGTTTAACGTCATTAAAGTGCTGGCAAAGGTTAGGGATAGGGTTAGGGATAAGGTTAGTGTTAGGGCTGGAATACATGGCTGGTACATGTATTACTGCGGGACTGTCATTCAACTGGATTTCATCCATAAACTGGTGCGTAGCATTAGAACGCGGAAGGTCACCTTTCACATACCTCAGGAACGCCACGGGATGTGACAAATAGTCGGGATGTTAGGCCTCGGGAGTGAGAACGGGCTGACTATTACCAAAAAACAGCAAAACTAATAAAATAAAATAAAATAAAATCTTCTGCTGTAGTAATTAGAAATTATTGACCTTTTAAATGTTACTTCAGGTAACAGACAAATATGCAACCTATGTGTTTGTGTCTGATTTGATTTCTATTGCTCTGCTTTCTGCACCCAGAACAATCAGAGAAGTGAATGAAGCTGTCAAATAACAACAGAGTAAAATTATTCTTAATTAATTTATTAACTTTTTCTCTGTCTTTCTCCTCCTTTTTTCTGTTTTCACCTCTCCTTCTCTTCACACATTTCTACCTCCTGCATACCCTTTATACCTGAGGATTTGGGGGGGACAAAAGCTGTCTCCTTCCCTCACTACTCTCTCTGCCTGTGTTCACTGGCTCTCCCTCAAATGAACAAACAAAAGCTCGGGGGGGAAAAAAGGTTGCCTGTAAGCGTATTAGGGATGTAAGCTGTGGGTGTGCTCTCAGCCATACCAGCCTGGTTGCACACAGGGATTATGAGAGTGTGGGGTTGCCAGTGTTATGTGGCAGCTTCAAGGTGACCTCCTCTTGAACATCACTAACATGTGTACTGTTTCCACGTGCACACTTTCTTTTATTGGTAAAAAAAAAAGAAAGAAAAGAAAGGCACATGGGGCAGAGTAGTCTCTGAGACTGATCTGATGTTATTCTCTTGTTTTTGAATAGTCAATTTTCTCTTTACTCACACTTACCTGTGGCTTGTTCTCATGACTTTTGTGACTTATTTTTAAAAGGGAAAAACCCAGAAGATGTGGTGCGACGATACACTGAGAAGATTAAAGTGGTGCCAGATGAGGTGAGAATAAAACCCATCGGTGCGCATATTCAGGATTTAAGTTGCTTCATGAGTACAGTCATGTACATGTCAAATGGCAGCTCAAGTATTTTGGCCCGCTATTCCAGGACTGTACCATCTGCATGGAGAGGCTGGTCATGTCATCCGGCTATGAAGGCGTCCTGCAGCACAAAGGCATCAAGCCAGAGCTGGTGGGCAAACTTGGCAAGTGTGGGCACATGTACCATCTGCTATGCCTGGTGGCCATGTACAACAATGGCAATAAGGTGGGTAAAAGCTTGCGAGCCAGACGCTGTTATGATGTCACGCTAGGCTCAAATTCTAAACTCGCGATGTCTTACAGCTCGACGGGGTTGCACGGCACTGGCAGATGATGGCCCTCGATATTGCTGCTAACAGATGGAAAGCTTATATAGCCTCATCTGATCAGTCTTGACAGCACAGTATTTTGTAAAATTACTTTGGACACTGATGTTTGCTTGCAGGAAATTCAGATTCACTGCTTGCAACTGCAAACAAAAGAACACCATGCTGCACTGTTGGTGCTCCAGAACAAAAAAATCAAGACAAATCAAAGTTTCTATTGTGCATTTAAAATACCTCAGTTCACCAAAATGCTGTACAGTTTGTACAAAATACACACTATACACAAGGATCACTAAATGAACAATAAATATACAACAGAAATGTAATAAAACAAAGTAAATAAGTCTGTTTTTGCACAATAAAGCCAGGGAACTCTGCTCAACTAGACGTGAAAGCAAGAACAAATGGGTCTTTAGAAGATTGGGAGCCACCACTGAAAAGTCTCAATCACCTCTAATTTAAATCCTTGATCTGGGAATTTCCAAGAGCAGGTCGTTCGTAGATGTCCGTGCTCAGCTAAGAGTCTAGGGTTTCCAAAGTTCTGTTAAGTAACAGGGTGACAAACCATGAGGTTTAAAAAGAAGGAATAAACGTTTAAACTGGATCCTGAAATGGAAGTAAAGCCAGTCTAAGGAAGCCAATATGGGTGTAATGTGATCACACCATTTTTCCCCTTTAAATAAAAGTGTGAATTACAAAAGTAACAAAAACAACAAACTTCTTATTTACATTTTACTGTAACAATCTATGCAGATGATTCTACTTTTTATTTGTCCAGTTTTTAAAATTCCCCTCTTTGAATTTAGATTTTTCTTTAAGCTGCGATAGGTGATATTGCTGTACTACATTATAATAGATGTGTAAATCCTACTGTGGCTCCAGAAAGAACTGCAGTGGTGTATTTTTTCCCAGCTCTACTTGGGGATAAAGACTAACAACTCCTGAGAAAAATATGTTTTTTTATCCACTAAATATTAAAATATATTTACCAGTTAGTTCCTAACATCGTCTATCTGCTGTTTGGAATCATTCTATTTGAAATTTAAAATGAGCAGAAACAAATAAAAGGCATTTTTCAGTCTCAATATTTGATATATTGTCTCTAGGCTGAAAAAAAAATTGCAAATCATCCATTTAATTTGGGGTTTTGGAAACAAAGTGGTTTAATTTTATTGCGTCATTAACGTCAAATCATTATTTTTCTCCAAAGCAGGATGGCAGTCTTCAGTGCCCAACGTGCAAAACCATCTATGGGGAGAAAACAGGCACGCAGCCCCCCGGGAAGATGGAGTACCACGTCATACCACACTGCTTGCCAGGCTATCCAGACTCAAAGACCATCCGCATTGTCTACGATATTCCTGCCGGGATCCAGGTGAGAGCCGTCTCACTTCACCTAATCCACCACCCTGCCTTTCTACCCTGATCCGCTGTCTCTTGCCTCTAAATCTGTGACCTTTTACAACTGCTTATCCGCTTAAGTTGGATGGAGAGTTACTCACGCAGGAAGCTGAGGTGTCGGGATCCTGAGGAAACAGCATTTTTAGGAATTAAGCAGTGATTCAGGGCAAAGACAAAGAAGTATCTAAGAGTAATTCTCTCTCATGGTAAAGGCTTATGTTGTATAAGAAATATATAGAGTGAAAACATGCATGTTTTTTTGTCCTTATAAATATAGGCATACAAGTCCGCCTTCCCTTAGTTGATTTGTCTTTCAGCTTATACATCAAACTGATTAACATTAATAAGAAAATTAAACAGCTGGGATTTGCAATTGGATTTCACCGGGTCTGAGCTGGTGGTATTTTGGCTGGTATTTTCTCCTGACTCCTGAGATGAGCTCAAATTGAGTCAATAAGCTGACCTTTTTCCACCAGCGGAGAAGGCATAGAGCCCCCAGGGATAGCGCTGGGGGTCATCTGACCACTCAGATCAGCATAACAACACAATACACTATTGCCAGGGGACATTACTGTAGGTCTGTCTTTTTCCCCTCCTGCAGTTCAGCCTGCACTCTAGACAACATGAGTGATCATCATAGATGGTCAGGTTTACACTCTGTACTCTGTGGACGATAGCAAAATAATTGGGTGAGTAGGGAAGTGGTGACGCTGTGCATATTGTCCATCTTCTTTTGCCTTTTCAGTCTATGCCAGCACCCAAAACTGTATGATGAAAATAGTAGCACACTATAATGGGCTTTATACTTGTACATCTTTAATAGGTTAAAGTAGGTGGTGTGTTCACTTCAATTCAGTTCAGTTTTATTTTACATAGCACCAAATCACAACAACAGTTGCCTCAAGGTGCTTTATATTGTAAGATAAAGACCCCAAAGTAATACAGAGAAAACCCCAACAATCACACAGCGCTTGGTGACAGTAGGAAAGAAAAACTCCCCTTTAACAGGAAGTAACCTCCAGCAGAACCAGGCTTAGGGAGGGGTGCCATCTGCTATAGTGGGAGGCGGGGTTAGGGGAAGGAGACAGGAGACAGGAGAGAGACTCAATGTGGTTTACAAAGATCATCAGAGGAAGTTCTAAATGGTCGAGAATCTAACGCTCTAACCTTCTGAGCTTTTGGTGTCACGAGGGCACCTACAAGATAGTACAGAATGAATGGAGAAATGTCATTTCTGTTGTTGGTGGTGTTGATTTTTTTTTCTTTTTTGTGTAGTTGTAGTTAATGTTAATGTTCAGTTTTTAGATTTAAATTGAATTTTGATTGCACCACAAGCCACTTTATGGCATGAACTATTTTGATTTCATGCACAAATAGAGGAGCGGCAGAGAGTTTCTAGCTGCCTGGTTGGAGTCTGCCATGCTAATACTTTTTGTAGTTACCTTTTAGTAATAGGTGCTGATGAGGGGATTGTCCTCCCATAAACCCAGCACTCGCTGATGAATAGATGTCTTAATGTTTGTGAACATCAGAACAGTTTGAGAAAAACAATAACATTTTTAAATATTGATCTTCTTCCCAGTGTTTGATCATCACAAGTAGCAAGTAGCGCTATGATCAAAAGGACACATTTCTGCATCCCACACTAGAAAAAAGTTCAAAATCAAACAGATTTTCTTGTTAAAACCAAGAATGCCATCCACTGGTTGAAAAGCCCACACTACACTGCCGATGTATATGTGAAGAAAACTAAATGAGATTTAAAGATCAGCCTCTTCGAACATAAAAGCAACTTCAAGAAGAAAGTTGAAAGAAGCCCAATGACATTTTATTTCAACTGCCATCGTGTGTGATCTCCTTAAAGACAAACTCGAAACCTACATTTGTTACAGAGACGAGAATACTGGCTTTGTGTTCTATAAATTGAAAACGCTAAAGGTTCAAATTAAGGATTAGCATTGAGCTGCTTTTTGTAATTCCAGGAAAACACATAACAACACTAGCACCCTCCTTTTAACATACTTTGTGTGACGCTATTTCATTTAAGTACTTGGGGTTCATCTCATTTGTAGGCCCAACAGGGCTATTTCATCCAGCAAGTGCAGTAGATGGTGCAATATTCCTGCAGATTTACATAATACACATGTAATCAGTGTCATGGTATTGATAGTTTATGTTTATGTATTTGTGTCGTTTATGTTTAACTGTGACTGATGACATATCACTTTATCATTAGTCCACCTGGACTAATGATGGCTTGTAGCTGAAACCTATTTGTTTTGGTCTTTAATGAACATTAAGAAGTATACTCATCCGTGATCAGTTAGTATTAGTGCCGTGTACTTTACATTGGTACAATACTCGAACCAATGTAAAGTAAATAAAGTCAAATACTGATACTTTTAACCTATAAAGGCTATGAGAGCAGTGTGCCATGACTTATAAGATGAATCATCAATTTACAAATTATGAACACATTTTAATGTGTAATTAAAAATTATTGTGATTTTTAAAAACACATCTTTCAGCTTTTCATGTATTTTGAAACTGGGATTTGTTGGAGACCTGGAATGTAAACGTGCGTGTCTCTAAAGCACTTTGGGTCAGCTTCTGTTGCTTACATTTGCTATAGGCTATACATAAAATAAACATGACAGTCACCACAAACACAAAGAGGTTCAGACATGTTTTATAATGCATGTCTGAGGTCATTTTTGTCATTTCCAAAAAAAACATGAACAATCCAGTGGACTACGTGGTTCCTTAGAGGATAGGAACCACGTATTGATCACATCGTGGTAGTATCAACCTGATACTGCTATCGATGCTGTATTTGGACCGATCTGCCCACTTTTAGGCAGCACACGTTAGCAGGAAGATAGATTTATGGTTAAAATTGGCTTCGTTGTGAGAAAAAACAGGATATTAGTCTCATTTCAGTGTGATGATATAATCAATATTTTACTTGCAAAAGCTAAAATATAATTTCTATTTCTAGATGCAGGCATAAATCAGTCACTCCCATTCATTGGAGGCCACATTGCACTCCCCCTTTTGGGGGAATTACAGCTATTTTCGGTGCGCTGGGATTAATCAAAAGTGGAATGACTCTCTCTGGATCACCTCTGATGTAACTTTTGAACCGTATGCCTGATTTTCGAAAATAGCATACCTCTGGAGTCACTGAAACGAGCTGAGTTTAAAGAGTCTCGTGATATCAGTTTCTGCTTTATCTAATTTTATTTAAAAAGTTTCTTCATCTTTTGGCCACACCTGTTTTTTTTCTAACCATCTCGGCACTTCTTTCCAAAGACTGTCAAAAAATGAGTCATGAGAGGGCAGCACAGAACTTTTTTCCTGTTATTGCTTACAGCCAGCTTTTAGCATGATCTGATCAAGTTGCCATGGCGACTGTGCCCTGCTGAACTACCTGATTCCATCAAAGCTTCTTGCAGCTTTATTTTTAGGTGGTATTATATTAGTGGTACAGTGAAAAGGGGCCTTATAACCTGTCCAAGACGTGTGCTTAATAGAAGCACAAAGAACACACAAAAGACCGGGAAAGGCAAATGTGTTGTTACAGCAACCAAAGCCTGGGAATATTACCAAAATGTAAACATAAAAAAGGAAAATGAAATAGGAAAATGGACAAAAAACAAGAGAAATTTGTTATAACAAGGCTGCTTTAACTGTGTGACGTATTTTTATTGATAAGGTTGAGGGAATTGGTGGGACCCTGGCTTTGATGAGCTACAAGATTTTTATTTCATGCTAGTGGTTTCAAAGCACTTTATTTTGACAGAGACTGAACATATTACTGCATATTGAAAGTAACATAGTTCCCAGCTGATTATTTTACAAAAGCCTCGTTTAAGCGATGTGAGCAGTAAAGCTTGTCCTGTGGGTGCTGTTGACATTTCCCACACAATTAAGTCATAATTGCAAGTGAAGGCGTTGTAACTTTTGTTTTTTCTTCTTGACATTTTCACCAGACCAATGAGCACCCCAACCCTGGGAAGAAGTTCAGTGCCAGAGGGTTCCCTCGACACTGCTACCTCCCCGACAGTGAGAAAGGCAGGAAGGTAAGCTGCGACGCAGCTCCCAGACGGAAACACCGGGCTTCCTTTTGTGGAAGCGCCGTCACAAACCATCCTCTCGTTCTTGTCTCATCAGGTCTTGAAGCTGCTGATCATGGCCTGGGACCGACGCCTCATCTTCACCATTGGCACATCCAGCACCACGGGCGAATCGGACACCGTGGTGTGGAACGAGATTCATCACAAGACAGAATTTGGCTCTAACCTGACCGGTCACGGCTACCCCGACCCCAACTACTTGGACAACGTCTTGGCAGAGCTGTCGGCCCAGGGGATTGGCGAGGACAATCTAAAGGACTGATGGCCAGCAGAACTGGTACACTGAAACAAAACCCCCCATGCCCCGCCATCTCCCAGAGAGCGGGGACACTGCACGACGGGCAACATGCGGCCGACAACACTTTACTCCCCACAAACAAAAATATCCTGCAGAAAGGGTGGCTTTTGGTTTGTGTAACCCAGGCAATCTCCCTCCCCCTGCTGTCTCTAGATCCATGCCTTGAGCAAGTTTTGTCTGTTGGCAAAGTCTCTCAAAGTGTAAATGATGCAAAGAGATTCTTGTCTGAATGTTGGGACCTTGAGGTGAAAGGTATTTATCCCTTTTTCAAGTCAAACTGATGCTGTTCTTTGGCACTCAAAGAAAAATGACAAGGGGCTAATAACTGTACACAGGCACATCTGTAAAACGCTGAACTCCAGAATGCATGGCCCCGACTAACATAATGAAAGTCAGGCAAACACACGCGACAGGGTGAGCTGTCAGCGGATCAGCTGTTGCTTGGTATTATGAAGATTTAAGAAAATCGCAAAGAAATCCAAATTAACTATTTCCCTCCCCCCAAGTTTACTTTTTTAGTGAATTCATTACAAACGTTGGTTGTGCATTTTTGAAAAATCAGGTCATGGCTCCGGAGTGATGTCATTTATGGTTAATCTGATATTTTCCACTTCTGATAGGTCAGTGTATTTTATTTTCTACGTACGGAAGTATGTTCTGTAGTGCATGAAGTAGATTCCAGAGAGCTTAAGATTTAGAAGATTATTGGTGTTTGGTAACAATTGTGTGTTGTATGGTTAACCTTGTGGACATTCTGTGAGAGGAGACATAAAATAAGATGAAACAAGCTCTGCTCCAAGGTTTAACTCATTTGTTTAGTTGACACACTGATGACGATGACCTCTGTGAATAAAAAGGCTGCATTATTATTATTCCTGTTGGAGCGAACCCAGGCGCTGGCACAATCCATCATGCTGACCGTACACAAGGGATGAGCGTGCAATCGTGTGCTCGGAGGCATTAATAAGCTGGCTTTAAGTCCTTGAGGACAGAAGCTGAACACACAGATGGACGTTCCTCTGTCTTTCAAACACCAACAGCTTTCCCTTAGAGATCCATTTTCGGGGGAGCTCCTCCGCTCGCCTGCAGTCTCTTGTGAGCTTGTTTGCCGTTTGTTGGCGTTGTACTTGGCTCAAGTGCCCGCACAGTGAGCAGCTGAGCCTCGGAAACGAGCAGCATCTCGTCGCCTTCGTGAGCTCACTTTGGAGTCTTTGGGGCGCTTCCCGATGTATCTGTTCACCCCCGCTTTCCGCCTCCTCCTCAGCTGTGGAGCACTCGTTCTACAAACCATGCAAATGTTGGTCGAGTGTGTTGTTGGCTGGGGACTATTTTTTCCTACGCCCCCCCCCCCTTCCCCCCCTCCCCCTTTAGACTTAGTGCCCGCGAGATAAAGACTTTTCGAAGGTCCTCGGTGGAGATCTTGTGATGTTTATTTACTCTGCGATAAATTATAACCCAGAGCTGCATAATTCTCCATAAATATGTCTGATCAATTTTAATGAGCGGGAGCGTTGGTGTCAGGTTTATTAAGGGGTCACCCAGCAGCGGGCTTGATTTTGGGGTTAATCATAGTCTTCCATAGCACTTTGAGGCAACATTTTTGTTGATTAAGTCATTTGGTTTTTAGAAAAATGTCTTAAATTGCAACTTAATCTTTTTTTAAGTTGATGTTTATAAACTGGCTTGCGATGCTTTAACTATATATATATGAATATATAAAATATATTTGCAGATGTGATATACCTTTAAATTTAAACTCAATTTGAGTCAATGGTGTAAGTTTAATTTATTTTTATACTCTTCTATATAGAAAATATACAGATTGTCCCACATATCTGTACACAGGCACATGAACATGAGTCACATAAAATCTGGCAAAAAAATTTGTCAGGATGTCAGGGACTGAAACATGTATGACTTGTTATGGACGTCTTATATTGCAAGTAGTCTTAGCGTATTCTGCTGTCATGACCTTAATGTAGACCTTGTGTAGTTGATCCCCGTGGGACACAAATAAATACAGTAAATGTGTCTTTATTATTGCTGGGGCAGCTTTAGCGGCATGAAGATGGCCCATGTTGGCCTTTTTTTTACGTTCCGTGGGAACAGATGTTGTCAGCCATTTTTTGTTAAAGCTGAAGGTGAAAACAGCCTGGGTTCAAGATCCAATCACAAAATATTCTTAAGAGTTTGTTTAAGCAGGTGAGGTTTCTCTTAGTTAGGCGTGAGTCACAAACACAAGAATACACAGAGTTTGTCACTTTAAATTCTTCCCCTCCCTCCTGCAGTGCCATGTCAGTACTAGTTCAGAACTAGTTTTGCATTATATACTGTTGCGCGGCAGAAAAAGAGGAAATCACAGCCGACAGGATCTGCGGGCTACATCTGCAAATCATCCGTGAATTTCTTGCTGTGGAGCCTCCCGTTGCCACTGACAGCTATTTTGTTGTGGCGAGGCAGTGCCTGATTTTTGCCTCCAGTACCAGTCCCATTTTATTATGAGAGAAACATGAAAAAGCTTTCTGCATCAAGCGCTAGCACCACATCAGTGGAAAAGTGCTACTTCTAACTCTCGCATCAAAGCACAGCAGTGTGGAAATATACATTTAAATGTCAGTGATGCCTCAGTCGCAGCCACTGTGTTGGTAAAGAGAATTTGCACATGCATATGCATACCCAGTGTGTTTGTCAGGACTCCATTTACATCTGCAATTAAAATAATCACAGCTGTTTGGTTTGCAACTGCAGTCTAAGCCAGATACATGGATTAATTATAAAACTCTTTTCATACAAATGATTTGATCTCATATAGATATTAGGAAAGATATTTAAGGTTAAATTAAATATAATTTAATATGCACTGCTCAAAAAAATTAAAGTAAGACTGAAAACACATCAGATATCAACGGCAAAAAAGTTATGCTGGATGTTTACACTGATATGGACTCCATAATGTGTTAGGAATGAAAGGATGCCACATCATTTGAGGGAAATTAAAAATAGTACTCAGGACCCAGTGCACCAGCGTAGGGTCTGACAGTGGGTCCAAGGGATTTCACGCTGATACCTGATGGCAGTCAGGGTGTTGTTGCCTGACCTGTAGAAGTCAGTGCGTCCCTCAGATCATCACTGACACAACACCAAACTGATGATGCTAAACAGTGTTACAGACACCATGGACCTGCCAGTTCTGGCATTCTATGGCAAATGCCATTTGGGCTCCAAAGTGTTGGGCAGTGAGAATAGGCGAGCAGATACGGGTCCTGTTCATGGGTTAAGGACCTTCAAGACCATGTCCGACTCTCCTAGAGTAACTTCTGGACTCCTGAGCCAGTGATGGGAGACACAGCAAACCTTCTGGCAGTAGCACATATTGATGCACAACCTCAGAGGAGCTGGACTACCTGTGCAACCTCTGCAGGTTAATGTAACCCCTAATGGAAAAGTAGTGAAAAAAAACTGTCAGAAAAGATGATGAGGGAAAATGTTTATCTGTAAAAGTATTGCTTTTTTGTCTCATTATTGCCCCTCTAGTGCCGCTGTTATTAATTTCATTGACACCAAAAAGGTGAAACGTGGTTAAAAATAACGACCGCTGCTGCATAACTGATCGGATCAATATCCCAGAAGTTTATCTGACTTGATTCTGTACTCTGAAAAGTGTTCCTTTAACTTTTTTTGAGCAGTATATTTAAGACAGATTACTGACCGGCTTCATAATTCAGTCTCAATGAAACTTCTACTCAAATTTTTTTCTTGAAAAATCTTAATAAATATCGCCACACATTACTAAAATTGCATATGCATCCATGGACTACCCAAAGTTTCATCTACATATAGCATACACCATGAGCCTATTTCAGCTGGCCACATCCCTGCTGCAGTGTGGCAATGCTGAAGACACAAAGTGGTGTGAGCTGTTTATCCCAAACTTATGAATATATTTTAATATCTTTTGTTATTCTGTTAAAGTCCACTTTCACTAGATGAGTAGTGGAGCCTGTGTTGTCTGTGAGCTAGCGTCTCCATTTTTCAAAAAGGACACTTTTGTGGCTCTTGCTTCTCAGGCACGAATTTTCTTGAATGCAGCTGTTGTTAACCTTCAAAGAGAGCTCTTCTTCGCCCAGGAGCAACAAACAAAAGATTTAAAATCTATCCAAGGTCACAACAATCACTGTAATCGCTTTTTTTAAAAAGGGTTAAGGCATTAAAATACCACTGGGTTGTGTGCATACAACAGGATGCCAACAGAAACTGCTGGATTACTTTAAAACAAGGTTTCATTATGCATGTGAATCAGCCTGCTGAAAACTGCTCCCGTGTAAAACAAGCTGTCATTGTGTAGCTTTTAGCTACAGTAAGCTCTTAAAACCCAAAGAATGGCAGATGCTACAACTCGCTTGTGATCACTGTGGAGCATTTAGCAGCTAAAGTGCTCGGACTTTTCATTCATCAGGTGGACAGGATCATGACTCTAAATGAATCGTGAGCGAATCACTGTCCTTAAGACCAAATAAGCCAGTTGTTGCAGATTTAAGTATTAATATCTGTTTAAATACTTTAAACCTGTATATTTGTTTTCAGGCTGTTTTAGCCACAGCTCTGTGTTTGTGGTATGGTATATGGTAAACAAACTATTAAGAGTATTTCTGAGTGATTTTTGACCCAGGCGCTGAAAACATTCACATTTTTGGCCTACGTCAACTTTTCTCCTTCGCACATTTGTGACACCCTTTATACAATGGGACAGCAAAAGAGAATGCTACCGATCTATCAGGGAACTTTTCCATGTGAAGTGAAATTTCGTTCACTAGAGAAATCCAAATGTTCGCTTCTTCAGCTTTTTCCTTTTCCACGTGTCGGTCTTGTAGTGTGAACGACGCCCGGCCCTTTAGACTTTTCAGGTGTGTACAGATCTATGTGGGAATGATGTATAAATCAAGGTTTTGGTATTTGTCCGGTTAAACAAGAAGGAGGTGGTTTTTATGCAATTTACTATTTTTAAAACCTAATACATGATTTACGTGTAGCAAGAAGAAGGTTGATTGTTTTTGGTTCAAAATGACAATGGATGTTTTCTTTATGGGGCGCCTACCTCTGCGTTTCTAAACAGAGAGGTTGCAATCCAAGGATGTTCACATGCTATGTATAAAAAAAACATATATTTTTGATGTCTTTTTTTTTCAATGATTGTCTCTAAAAAGAACTATTATGTAACATTTGCTGTATTGCTCTTCATCCCATGCTATTCCATTAGAGGTTAGAGGTGGGATCGGGGATGAAGTTACTTTGTCCTAACGTATGAAGTATATATGAAGTTGTACTCTCGTAGTGTCTACTGCAAACTGTACTTCTCTATCTAAGTGATACTTTACCATTTTTCTGTGGCTATGCTGTACGTTTGTATCCGTCCGTGTGAGCGTGTGTGAAAGTGGGAGTCTCGTAGACAAAGCTTAGGTTCATGTCCTTTAAAGATGCCGTAACGTTTCTTAGAGGTGCATGTTAACCAAACAGTGAGCAAGCGTATTGATAGTGCAGAGTTTTTCTTGTTTTTTGCATATGAAAACATGTTAGCTTCTCTAGAAACCCCACCCTGGTTTTCTGGTGGTTAGCACTGTGGTTCTGAAAGTTATTCCTATTAGTTAGGGATTTTCCCTTTTTATCTTTTATCCCCCCCCCCCCTCCCTCTGTATTGGCTTTGATTTACACAAATGAGGAAACGATAGCGTTTTGCTGCTTTCCCCACTCTTTCCACGACATGTAAAACATCTGAAGTTTTTCAATTTAAGTGCCCATTTTAAATGACCTTTCCAAGTCACTGTTTTTGTTGTTTAATCTTAGGCAGCGTCTGCATATTGTTATGGTTCACGTGGACAAACTGAGATAAACTAAAAGCAAGATATACAGAGACATTGATTTAACTATAAAGGGCTTCTTAATCTATTGGTCTTTATTGAATTGTGATGACCTTGTTGCATGTTTGTGTGTTTTGTTGTGGAAAAATAAATGTGCCCTTGACAGGGGTAGTGTGTTTGAGCTTTTGTTACACCGGCTCTCCTTGTCCCCCCACCCCCACCCCACCCCCCCACCCCACCCCAGTCGGTGGTGATGTGTCCTCTTCCTATTTAACACCACCGTTTCCTTCTCCCTGGGTAACTCTGTGCTTTGGAGCTCGTTATATGGATATAAATGAGCCTGGCTGCTGTTCTGGAGTGCAGCAGGAAGAGTTCTCACTGGTAGTAAATTTGCTTTATGGTAATTTTCTGCCTCTGGCTTCTGTGGTAAAGAGCTGTGGTGGGCGCATATTAAAGCAGGCCTTGAGATGTCAGGACGGAGGTGATGAGACACACCCCCTTTCAGGTTGTCGTTCTTCCTTCCGTCACTGACCCAGCAGCTCGGGGGCCAGACCCCTGCTAGTATTTGTAAATAAGCCCTACTTGCCTGTCTCCGCTCACCTCTCACGCCTAATGAGGGGGCGAGCAGGGAGACTGCTGCATCAGTGCAGGTAGGTCTGCTTTCATTAGCATTTAAATAAGGCCGGGAGGTGCATTGCTGGCACGCATATTTTTTTCATGTGGTATAATTTAACATTGCATTCAGATTCTTGTTGGATTGTGAATTCTGTGGTTCTGGTGGGTTGATTAAATTTGAACAAAGGAGTAGAGCAGTAACCATGACACTGGGAGCCTGCTCTGGCATCTATCAGATGTGACGGGGTTTCCTGTAATACCAAAAATGAATCAATGTCTGCTTGAAGTCAGATCCTCCTGCACTTTAATGCTAACCAGGAGACGGACAGACATAAGCCAGCAAAGCAGATTTTTTGAACCAATCCTTCATTTTATGGAAACCAAGTGAGGATCAATGTAAAGAAAAAAAAAGTGTCAGTCTCGTTTTTTTCTGGGCACAAATTTGACACCTTCTCCTTTGATTTCTTCACCGGAGTTTATTGAATAATACAATTGTGTTCACAGTAACAACCCACTTGGAACAAACCATTATGATGAATTTGCAAAGTAAGGTACAGGCGGGGTTTTTTTTCCTTTCTTTTCTTTTTCATAACAAGAGTCCCCATTCAAGAGAACACAATGTTCCACTCATGCCTACTCTCGTTATGACTTGAGCGGCAGATTAATAAAAGAAAAATGTGGAAAGCTGCAAACACCAACACACTCGTAATAACCATCTCAATACAGGATGCTGAATGTAATGTCTGCCATGTGTTTTAGAGTGTTAAGCTTGAGGGTAAGAAGAATGCCTGATGAGGTCATCTCAGTGATCTCAGATCAGATTTTATTCAACTGAATATTGTTTAATAGACGGACACTGAACACTACTTTCTCTGTGGAAAATGATCAAAATTCCCCACATGTGTATTTTTTCTTTAAAACTCCTAAAAGCAGATTTGGCATCTCAAACACATGAAACCAATGCAGTGGCACAAAAATCTCTGAAACTGTCAACTTAGTAAACGGGAGTGTCTCATGATTGTTAATTCCCCTCTTTTTCAAATAAAATTTGTCCATGTATGGATATTATATAATAACCAGGTAAATATTACCCATCTTGGCATTATAAAAATGTGAATTACATCAGAACCCAACATTTACGTTGACTGGCCGTAGCACCAAACCAAAGCGGATGTTTTGTGTAAAGGGACTGAAGCAACAATTAAAATCTGAGTTTTGCTCACTTTACAAGCGGCGTCACACTGTGGAATAATTTATAATGTTATTGTCGCTGCTACATTGCGGCCATGGTGATATTTTGCCTCAATAAAAATACAAAGCATTTATAATAATAACAGCAATATCAAAACACCTTACATTCAGGTACTGTAGGTTACACTAAAACAAGCTTTTTGCATATAAATGTGTGACTCGGGTCCTGTACAGTATCTCAAAATATAAAAGCTTCTTTTCACATTTCACAACAAGTGGATGTGGGCCATGCAACAGATTGCTTATTATCTACATAAAAAATATCAAGTCAGATCATGCTTTAAAGTCCCTCCACCCCTCCCCACCCACCTCCTCCTTTTTGTCAAGTATCATAATCTTCCTGCGGCGCTCTTGTCGGTGGCACTCGGAGAATCAAAAAGATTAAAGTGGCAGAATTCCCTCTTGCTCTTTACAGCCAGGAGGAAATGTACTAAAAGGCTGGAAGAGGTGGCACCACGCAGCCAATTTTTTCTCCGTGACAATCAAGAGAGTGGGTTAGCTGATTTTCACTTGTGTTGGTACAGGATGCTGCCCTTCCACTCCCCACCCCTAACCCGCCTTGATGCATTAAAGGCTCCCAGTCCACATGTGAACTCTAGGGATTCATAATAACACTGGTGACGTCCTCCTTTTCTCTGCGCTGGAAGGTAGCGTGAGCCTGCTCCAGGTCCTCTATCACCACCAACAGCCGAGCAGCGATGCCCTGACATGGCTTCATTTGCTGAACAGTGCATTCAGCACCATCTGTGACAGAGAAACGTGTAGATAAAAGGATGTTGTTTCTGTAGAATTACTTCCTGGAAATGTCATACCCACATAGAATATAAGGGGATAATAATAATGATAATACAACAATTAAAGCACTTGTACATGTAACTTGATAGAAAAGTTAAAGTTTAGTGTCACCTGGGTGAACGTCCACATTCGTCTTCTTTTCTTTATTGCACGCTGTCTCATCATCATCCGGCATCTCCAGATATTTGTTCCTGCAGTATCAGAATCATATCACATGATCACACAGTGAAAGTTAAACACTTGACTCATACTAATGTCAAGAAGCAGCACAGCAGTGCTTTACTGTATAGCAACATAGACCTCTAGTGTTCAGGAAAAGAAATGCATACAGGCCGAGGACATGCTCGGGCACCAACCTGAGTTTGTCTTTGCCCTGCAGAAGCTGCTTGTATATCGTCTGAGTCTCCACGTCTGGATCCAGCGGGTCACTCCAGTCACCAAGTGTCACAGCTGAGTGGGTTCTACTGCAGCCTGCAACTGAGACACAGCTTTTTTTATTCATCTCTGGCACTTTACAGTCTGAACTTCACCCCACTAAATGTAAAATATCATTTTAATAGATGTTTCTACTAGTTTGTATATAATAGTCAATGGAACAGCCTTAGTAACAATCAAACCTGTAGTGTTGGTGCTGAAAAGAATGTAAAATGTTTAATCCCACGTGCAAGGCGGTGAGTAAATAAAATTGATTTGGAGAGCGCATCAAAAACAGCCAGTCAAACCTTAGTAAAGTAGCAAAGGGGAGTTTGCAAGTTTCCTACAAATATTCTGGTGTCTTGGACATAAATCAGTACATCTGGAAGTAATAACAGCAGGATTACCAGCTCGGTCGGCCTGCAGGCAGCAGGTCCACTTGCCACTGCGATGAACCCCCGGGTGAAAAGAGGGCAGCATGCGCTCATTGTAGATGCTGACTTTCCTGATCGCAGACAGCCACTGGTTCAGCTCATTTACATTCTGTTTGGGAAAATTGAAATACGGTGAACCATGAAGTTTAATGTCGAACTGAAAAAAGAAAAATCTGCATTTTGAAGGCAATCAGCTGAAAAACCTACAGGGATAAAGCACATCATTGCGACAGAAAACAATATAGATATTTAGTGACTTTTTTCTAGGAGATTAATAAAACTTGTTAAAAATTCAAATCTGTGACTATAGAAAACTGTCAGGGTTTTGTGTTTAAAAAACTTTAAAAAAAACTCATGCACTGTCTAGGCAACTGGGTGGTGTACAAACGCACCTTGCACTGGATGTACGTGGTGTGCAGCTGTCCGTCGTTGTCCTGGGTGATGACCTGCATTACATTCTGCTGCTGAAAAGCATTTTCATCCACCCTCTCCACGGCGCACACACACTGAATAGGAATTGAAGAGCGCACCTGCAAACCACAGCCCCAATTAGAACAGGTATGCACATGATGGCAATGATGTATCATGCCTTGCCTCAGGCATACTACACAAAGGACTCAGTGAAATAAAGGTGACATCTGATCACTGAGCAAATTAATGAAGAGGTTTCTCATCCTGAAAAGCTACGAGGAACGGTACGGCGCAAGGAGGAAGTGAGGATGAGATCATCATGGCAGCAAAGGCTACTTTAAAGTGTAAATCAGCCACTTCCAATGGGAGCTCATCTCATTGAGACTGGAGTGCTCCAACATGGAGAAAAGGGGCCAGGACATTGTCTCCAGTGTGATTTGCGATGTTCGTATGAATATCCATAGCTTTCAATTAACCCTCGGCTTTATTCCAGTCACACAAAGCAGAGACTGACTCAAAGAGAGGCATTTAGTGACGAGGATGTTCTGCTCCCATCAACCGTCTCCCTCTCTCTGACAGTCTCTGGTTAGAAAATGAGAGGAAATCATTATCACGGGTTAGGCACTACATTGTAATATCAGTAATGATGTTCTCACGAGAAGATCAACACAAATACATGAAAGCAAAGAAGCAGATGACTAAAATGTTTTCTCTTTGTGCAACACGTGGTGATGAATGCCCTTCATTGGGCACAAATGGGCATATTGTACATGTATTTTTATCATTACTTTGATTGTTTTTGATTATTTGATCCATCAGTCGTAGCAAAACATGATTAAAAAGCAACACTTGACACAGTGGCTGGTTGCCAAAATGAGCAGTAACGTAAATACTCATATGTATTTCACACATGATATGCAGTATGTTGGTAGATTATAAAATTTTGCTGGCACAATACCCACCTGCCAGTCGGGAGTCTTGGCATAAGACAGCGTCTCACTCGTCAACCAGAAGTACCGTTTCTTAAATGCAAAGCGGGATAACAGTTGGGGTCCTTCTGCTTTGTGTTTGTGGAGAAACCCCTCTTTGACTGTGACTGAAGCCATGAACACAGCCCTCTGAGGCACTTCAGACGCTGCGCAGAGAAAGCAGAAGACGGACATAAAGGGAAAACTGTATGTAATCTGTAGCTAATTGCATATTCACCCGGATAGACACAAGGTGGTGCTGTGTCAATAAACTATATAGATTCATTGCTTTAAACTGCACTCTGTTACAGATGGCTCCTCAGTCTTGTTCCATCACGCCATGAGGGATAGAGCTTCAAAGAGGAATAACAAGCATCTGCTTCTGTCCAACAAATTCACCTCAAGGGCATTAAATGTCAAACTGGCCTTTAGGAGAAAAAAGTGGGTGTGATGTGAAGACGGAGGTTGAAACACGATATGTCAGAGGGGGAAGATGTTTCACAACAACAGCCTCACTGACATATGACATTAAGGCAACAGCCAGGACAACAACAGCCCATGTGGCAGCTTCTCACTTCAGCTCCCTGCCAGCTCATTAACCATGTCATCTCTTTTCCAGACTTCCAACTAGTTATGAATATTTCACTGCAAGGCTACAGTATTGTTTCACCTATATCAGCTGGGAGCTACTACACTGGCAGGTGGCCTGTGGCTGATTAGCTCAACAGCATGGCCTCTGGACTTGGCTTTTGATTACACGTTGTAGTGATGTGTTTGGTGGTTACAGTCTTACCAGTGTCATGATCTATGTCAATTAACTTGTCCAGGAAGTCCTTGACAGAAGCCACACTGCGAAGGATGATGGGATGAAGAGGTGCCATCCACTGTTCTTTTCCGTGGCCCAGCTGAAGTCCCAAGTTCCCAACACTTTGTAGTGCCTGGCAACCACAGAGGCACGATATCAACTACAAACTCACATCTTCACCATATCAAATCTCCAGAAAATGACAGAAGTGAGGGAGTGACTGCATATCTAAAAGTCGAAGATCAAAAGGGTCCCTGGGGCCAAGCATGCTGCGAGGCCCTTTGTCCAGCCCACACCTGGCCTAGGGTGAGGAGGAAGTCCCCCTCTACATCCTCTCTGATGCTTGGCTTTGAACCACAGACTGGTTGCAGCACACAGAGGTAAAAATAGCCCGTTCCCCGTCTCTGTAGAGGGCCCATGGCAACAGTTCTTCAGCACCATGGACAGCAACCACAGAAGCCACACGTGGGAGTGGAATGAGGTTTTACTGTTCTTCTAACATCTGGATCTAAGATCCCTGCTTTTAATGATATCAAGAAATATCGACTCAAATTCCAGTTATAACCTGCTAACATGCTCATCTGATCTATTTATGGTTAAAACGGAGCATAATGTGAGAGGGATGTTTTATGGCCATACTCTGTATAGTTGGTGAAAAAAACTTCTTTGAGATTTGCTGTCTGAGTAGAGTAGTTATGAATTTTAAACGGGTTCCTAACAACAGGTGATCTAGTGGCATTACTGCAGATTATTAGCACCTTTCAAATAATTAACATTTTTATTAGTGTCTAAAAAATGAATACAGCGTTAGTTCTGTGAGAACAGACTCAAACAATCCCAGCAGATCAGCTAATCTAAATTCTAGCTCACATCAGCTCAGCTGTTTCCCTTTCCGTACATCCTACCGGCAAATCTCATACTCTTTTCAAAATTCTTCAGTCTACCAACTCCTTCATTTGAAGCTAAAGATGCTACTTCCATGTCATCCTGTCCTCACTGATCCCTACTCTGTTCCCTAAGGGCATCTTGCTGCTGCCCTCACTGTCTTTAGACTTTCCATGTGAACGTATGAAAGGATGGTGAGGTCTCAGACCACAGCAGAGACATATAAATATAAATGACTGGAGATGGAATATCAATCTTATTTTGCTGATTATGGCAGAACTTAAAATAAGGCACACGCAGACCTACAGTGTTACATAATTACCAAACAAAGTGAGAAAAGCAAGGAGTGCCTCAGTGCTCTCTCTCTGTTGACGTTACACAAACACCGTGTGTTTGTGTTACATCGTATTCCTGCTCCATGTTTTATTTGTTTTACATCCACAACATTAAAATCCATCTCCTCACACAGATGGCCTGTTGCATCACGCTCAAGGCTTCCAACACTTTACTGTTTATTTTGTGTTTTGTTTTGAGGAGTGCATAAGTTTGAACATGGATAAATGATTCACAGCAGAGTCTATGTGCATGTCTGTGTTCTGAATCATACCTTGGCTAGTAGTAACAGTGTTCTGCTTGTACGCGTGTCAGCATGCTGGTCTCTCAGCTGAAACAGCTTAGGTGTGAGGATTGCAGGAGCAAAAAAACGCAGGAAAAAGAATCCACTGATGGCCAGGTACTTCACATCCTGTAAAAATGAAGACGAGTCACTGAACGGTGACAGGCTGCCTCGGGATAAGCTGCGGGTGAAAGTAACCACAAATACACTGACACGCTTTCCTCTCTGTGTGTTTTGCTTCACACTAACCTCATTCTCAGGCTCGGTAAATTGCTCCTCCACTCTCTTGTGCAGCTGTTTGAAGGCCACTCTCATTACAGGAGGACACTGATCGACTGAGCTCACGATTGATTCGATGATGCTGGTCAAATAGCTCTGCAGCATCTCCACGCTGCTGTCCCGGACCTCTGCCTCTGACACTGCACCCTTGAATGAAATCCTTCTTCAGAGACAAAGAAAGATGCTGTAAACAAATGAATCCCTGAGATCTGCAGCGTAAACGCAATGCAAACAGGAGCTATCCAAGACAGGCTTTTATCTGTTCTGTAACACAGTTTATAAAAGGACTGATAACATTTCTGTTCTTCATTACCTCGTTACATATGAGACCATGTTACTACAGAGGAATCCAAACAATGACTGCCGTATTGACAATATCTAAACACATAAACTGAGATAATTTAAGGGGACGAGATAAGATAGTAGGTTAGAGCTACTGCATACATGGAGAACGTTAGATCCTGGATCTCCCCCCATGTCAGAGATAGATATCTCAGGGGGCTCATGGCAGTTGCCAAGCAACAGCCATTCCCATTTTACTTTTTTTTTATTTCCTCACATTCATGTCTTTCTCTCAGGGGTGAAGTGTAAAGGAAGTGGGCAGTCTCCTGTGGCAGCTTTTCCATTTTAACACATAATTTGCGAATAGCACGCCTGAGCGTACAACCCACAAATCCCCTCTTGTCAATTGTAGCAGTCCTACTCTATTACCAGGTCCGAGTATGACTATAGAATTGTGATCCAACAAGATATGTTTTAGGTCCGATTTACCTTGTGCGGTTCAGGTCGATCTTACATGGGTCAAGTTCAATGTACTTTTTCTCATCAAAGATGCGGTTGATGATGGGCTTCAACACCTCATGCAGATACAGCATGCCAACAGCCTGATAGCAAAACAATATCATATGTTGAAGACATCTGTTAAGGTCACTGTTATTCGTTTTGCTTTTCTTGATCTGTTCCCCTGCGTCTTTTGTGTGTCCCTCCCTGTCTGCTTCCTCAGTTTATCTGTTTGTTTTCCATGTCCCTCTTTCCGTTTATGGTTGTTTTGTTTTGAAGGTTATTTTCTCATGTGGTGTTGTTCCCTGGTATGTGTTTAGCTTGTGGTTGCGGTCAAACAGACAACAAATTCCCTCCGTTGATGACACTTTCCCTTGATAGGAAACATCCAGAGGGTCAAGGAAAAACGCTAAGAAGAATTCACAAAAAGGAAAACAGGATTGTTGTCCACAGGGAATCTAACTTGCATAAGACTAGTTAAAAATGTGACAAGGTGACAATTTTATATTAACGGTGTATATATCCTTGTGAAAAATATCACTTGATTACCAAGAACAGCTTTCCAGCACACAGTGAAGTGTTTGTATCAAGAAATGCCACTCATCTCGTCCTGCTGTAGAATTAACCCTTTAATAGGGCTTTTTAGCACCTCTCATGTTAGATGAATTAATAAGACTAAATGCTAAGACCAAAAATGGGGACATACGCAATGCAAGCCTTCACTTCAATTAGTTAAATGCATATAAAAAACCTTATTTATAGAGCAATTTTCTAAAATTAGGTTTCAAAGCACTTCATACAATGGGTATCAGTGAAGTGATCGCATGTATGAAAAATTTAAACCGAGTAGCACATGATGTGTCAGTATGCTGATCATTTTCTTTGAATTGAGGGGCAGCATTATGTCTTTTCATTTCATAAGAGATGGTAAATGTGCATCCTTTTCTAAAGGTGGTAATAAGGGAAGCACTGAAGCAGCTTTCCTTAACATTTAAAGAATTTAACGACCTCCTATTATGACTCTAGACACTTCTGGGTCACTTCACTCAGTTGGGAAACTTCCTAAGCAAAATTGGCTCAGTCAGCTTGTCAAGCTAACCACCTCCTGTCCTGCATCTCTCCTTGCCTCTGTCTGTTTCTTGTCCTCTTTTGGATCATCTGTGTTTTTTTACTCCTTTTTGTAGCAATCTTGAAAATTGACACACTTTCTGTTGCACTTAATTTGGATTGATCCTGCCCTATATAGCAGCCTGTTATGTCGACATACTCATTGATACATTAAAGTTACCTTTGCATTTGTCATGCTACACATGCTACACATGCCTTTTTGTTCTTACACTTGACAGCTTGCCTTGTTTTATCTAAATCTGCATAATTCAGAGAGTAAATATCAGGCACATCATGCTTTCCCTCAGAGCAGGGACCAAAAAACTGCAGGAACTATAATAATAATAATAATAATAATTTTTTTTTAAAACTTAGCTCACCTTCATGAACTGTTCCATGGCTTTGGAGGCAAGTGAGTTTGATCGAAATAAGGTGTTAGGATCAGCTATAAGAGCAGAAGGAAAAAAATAGTATTAGCAAAATATCTTACATATGAGCAAAATTAGTGGGCATAAAAAGATTTTCCTTAATCTGAATCAAGTGAAACAAAGCAACAGTTTTCAATTAAAGAATTAAAAAAGGGTAAGAAGCTCAACATCCACCACAACAATTTATTGCTCTTTTCCTGTCATCTATCTATTGTTGTACCTAAAAACACCTTTTATATGATGTATGACAGTGGGAATGGTGGGAAGGATCTTATTACTGCATCCAGTAGCTCCCAATCAATTTAATAAAGCATCACATAGACCCTCATCAGGCTCTTAATTATACTTGATGAAAAAGAAAAATTTAAGATTGAAACACTGCTTCCTTAGAGTGGAAGCTTTTCATATAGCCTGTGGAGCATTTGTTTGCTCCACCCTCATTTCACCTTTTTCTCTGGGCTCATTTATACATTTCTTAAGTATCTATGCTTTCTATTTAGTCTGGCACAAGTCTATCAATCAAGAACAAATAGTCCAGAGTCACAAGTGAGGGCAGACCGACCTTGCCTCAATGTCATGTTAGTCATGCGGTGACACTAAAATATCCATAGTAACGGGACTGGGTTGCCAGGTAAATTATTTGGATGTAAGGAGAAGGGTGGGTTTTTCACTGCTGCCCAGCAGGTGTACTGTACGTTTTTGTGCCGTGTGCCTAACTTTAATGTCTGGGTGCTCACACAATGCATTCCTGATCAAGCAGTTACCATTTGGATCATGTGGAGTTGCTATGGAAACTTAGGCACTATGCTTATTAGCAGAAACTACACCAACAGAAACCAAAGACCAGAGCTCAGTGTGAATTATCATGGGGATATGGTGCGGAGGCAAAAACATGACTAATCCAGACCAGAGAACAGCCAAGGGAAGACTGTTGGGTGAGTAAATAATTGGCACTGGGGTAGTAAATATAGTGTTGGGAGGCTTTTACTGCCCACACACATACCATAGCTGCAGTGTTCAGAGACCTTAATGTCAATGCAGCAGCAGCAGCCCTCAGAGGGTCTCTGGAGAGTGGAGCAATAACAGCAAACTGGCACGTCCCAAAGTCTGACTAATATAAATACTGACTAACAGAGATAAACTTAGATCCTACACTGTATATTCAAAGTGCAGCCACAGTTATTACATGTAATTAAGAGCACAAATACACATAAATTCTGAGCAAATTTAGACACTTGCAAGATGGAGGACATGAAATCAAAACCTTTAAAAACGGTTTAAAGTTTGCACTTTTTTGCTTCGTCTTACTGGTGTGGTTGACCTCCCGGGTGTTAAGGTAGTCCAGGAAGGGCACCACCAGTCCTTGTCCCAGGTAGATTTTCACCAAAGTCATTGCCACGTCCTGTCTGCTCTCAACTGTGGTGACCTCCTCCAGCATAGTCAGAGCGCTGCTATCCTCCACCTGTTCAGAAGAAGAGAACTCGGGTCACGGGTCAGGAATTTTGGCGCAACTGGGAAGCCGGACAGATGAAGCAGATGAGGTCTAACTGCAGATGGAAGAAGTAATGCATACAGCAGTCCCTTGACATGGCGAGTGACTGAGTGGTCAACAAATTAATATCAGCATCGAAGAGGAGCTGTCATGCTGACCTCTGTAGGGGAGATTACCGACTCAACCAGAAGGTCGATGAGAGGCTGATAGTACATGGATGGCAAGATCTGATCCTCCACCAGACGCACCTTGAGACGGAGTGCTCCCAGCTTGCCACTAAAAACAAAGGAAAGTATCACAGCACAGATTTTCAGCTAACACAATAATAGTCTGACAATAGTCTTTGTTAGACATTTGCATAAACTCTTTTTTTGTTTTTGTTTTTGTTAAAGGAGTCAGCGGTTGATTGGAAAATGCAGTTTAGATAAGAAATAAAGCTTAGAGTACACTCGTAAAAACAACCGCTAAATCATCCTGCCCCTGGCAAGGACATTTTCTAAACACATGGCTCACCGTGTTTGGGGGAAAATGACGCACCGCTTGGTCACAGTCCTCTCTAAATCAACAGTGGACTAGAGTGCAAAAACTCCTTACAAGAGTGAGTCATTTCCTAATGAACCTGAGAAATTCCCTTTACTTTACAGTTCACTCAGCCCTCCGCTCGCTCTAAAATTATCTCGGGGTGCAGATGCCATCAACGCACTGGCTATACATCCGTGATTGTGCTTTTAAGTGCTCGAAAGAGAGCCGGGAGGAAAATAAAAGCTTCTCTTGGGAACATTTAAGAAAAGATGTGATGATTGCTACGACAATTTTAGTCTTGATGGTTTCCGAAAGGAAATGCCTCTCTCTAAAGATGCATAGTTACCACATTGTACAAAGAAGCACACCCATAATCCTCACCCAGCATCAACCTCATTGTTTCCCAAGGGCAGTAAACGAAACCAGCCCTCTAACTGAGGTGTCTTGTGCAAACAAGCAAAAGGGATTTCCACCTGTGGAAAAGACACAGAAAGCAAGCACACAATATCAACAAGAAGAGGTAAAAGCCTTTATTTTATAGCAAGGAACACTGTACTCAATTATAAAACCTTTTGTAAGCTACTCATGACCTGAATTTTAATACATATGAAAAATGATTAGAATTATGGGAACCTCACCTTTCCCAGAAAGTCATTCTTGCCCACCATGTCCCAGTCCCAGACCTGTACAGTAACAGTCCCCTCCTCCTCACGCAGCTCCTCTGGATCCAGCTCCAGCTCTAACGTCTCACCCCAGTGAGGAAAACGGGTCTTCTTGATTATCTAAAAATCCAGCATTAAGAAATTGAAAGAAATCAAAAGATCAGCCTAATCTTTAACATTTAACCTTTAAATGACAAACAGTAAGGCAACCATCAATCAGACTTCAGTGCAACCAACATAACCCACTCATGCATGCAGACAGAGCTCACCGAGGTCTCTGCACTATGGTTGTTGAAAATAACTCTTGTGAAGGGATCAGAGGTTCCAGAAATGTCTCTTGGAGCCAAGTCTCTGCGGGTATCACCACACCAAAGGACAAGAGAAATCATTAATCCGCCAAAATGCTCCGCTAACTCTTATTATCTGTTCTGCAAGTTAAATTAGTGTGCTTTAGCGAGGAAAGAAAGCTGAATCTCTACTTCTTACTCAACCTTTTTCTTTCAAACTCAATTCACACTCATCAGAGCACATTTGAATAACACAGTGTCAAGTCCTGATTGACAAGCTCATTGGTGCCCCGCCTGAGAAGGAAAGATTGTAGCCTGGGACACACAAATGGGGCAGTGAGCGGTGTGACAGTGGCGGTGTGACTCAGAAGGGAGTGTGGAGGCCTGCGGGGTGATGGTGATAAGAGTTCAGCTCAAAAAACACTGATATACTGCCAGAGCTCAACTACAAGGAGCTCAGCTACACAAACGTGACCACGTTTGAAGTGATAATACGGTGGCTCTATCACAAACTCACATGGCAGATTCTGAAATGTTCGAGCCACTATTGTCCGTGGCCGTTTTTAAGTGAAATCGCCTTCCTGGCATTTTCTCGGCAGCGCAGCATTTCATTTTACCTGGCTTCAATGACTTGACACCGCAGACTGATCTTCTCCGTATCTTTAAGCAGCTCCAGACCCAGATGGATCTCTCCTTGAACTTCTTCATCAGGGTCAACCTTTGTGAGATTTAGCCAGCAGTCTAGCCCTGGCCGTAAAGCACAAAAAGAGATTAATCTCTAAACCATTAAACACTGAGAGGAGCTGAGAGATTAGAACTTTGAGAGTCATATTGAAAATAAATAATATTAATTTTCCAATTAGCTGTAAAATATCCATTGATGAACTGGCAAATAATTCCTGGACTAATGTACTTTGAATATTATGAGTATTTTTCAGGATCGAACTAACAGTTTGAAGACCTTATTTTTAACTTTAGGAAGATACAGTTGTTTATTTTTGTTCTTTCTGACAACTAACTGGTCATTATTCTGTTTGATTAAGTACACAAATAAAACTAATTAGTGCAAAAACATCTACAGTTTGTACAACTGCAAGGCAGGAACAGTAAAAAATAAAAAATAAAAAATAAATACCACACAGTCGATGATTGCCTGGACAACATGCACACTGTGTGATGCTGTTAAGATTCTACTTTTGTCTTTCAGAAAATGAAAGAAAAGGTACAATATCAAGGCCGGGCTGTGAGAGAAATCCTGTGAGGGAGTAAAATGACTCAGTACCACAATGCGGCAGTGAATCACATGACTGAGGCCGATGCCAGGTGGCCTTCGGAGGAGAATCATCAATATGCAGCAAACATACCCTTTTAAACTCTTCAAGTAATCTAATAACGCTACGACACAAAGACACACGATTTGTCAGCCCCATATGTCTGGCTGAAAGTGCGTTCATTCCAAAACTGACCTACCTACTTTTAATCCGGGAATGTTTCTTAAACCTGTGTGCCACTTTTCAGTGAATACTCAGGTAATTTTCATTAGAAGCAATTCTCAGTTTCAGAAATTTGTGTCTCCATTTTCTGATTTTCTATTAAATCCCAGTTTTAAATTATTAGCAAACACAGCATTCTCTGCTTTATCTAGTTTTTACATATTGTCCCAAATTTCTGGAAGCCCTGTAAATATTGTGAGTGATGTGCATAAATGAATTTAAAGGTTTGAGAGAAGCTAAAAAACATTCCCACCCTTACAAAAAAAAAAAAAAAAAGCATGTCTCCTCAATCACTTGGACTTTTGAATCCATCACAGGATTCTTTGTGTGTTTAACCTCTGAGCTCTGGCCATGCAGTCATCCAGTTATAGACTACTGCTGAATGTTTAGCCATGCCTTTAGCTTGAGCTCCAATGGCTTCTTTGGTCAGCGTAATCTTTCCAATAACATCATCGTGCCTGTAGAAAGGGATACAAAAGAGAGAGAGAGACTTTGAGACAGAAGCTACTGAAAATCAGATCAAAGTTTTTGAGTTTTTGAGTGAAATGATTAGCGCTGGCCATCATGTGAAGAGGAGAAAAAAAAACAACCTTTAATCACTCAATCTGGGCGACCATCTGCCTGATGATGTTTGTTTATTCAAAGCTTAGAGTTCTTTCCCAAAACATTAAAAAGCTTTGCATGAGTTTCCACACAAATATATCAACTCATGGCAAGTTAAGCAAACACAGAGGACTACAAATACACGACCAGGGTCCAGCAGTTAAGAGTAAATATGGAATAGTTTTGAAAGTGCTTTGGTTGCGGGATTACCCAATTGTGTCCTCATCCATAACGTGAAAAGAGAGCGAATGAAACCCCATTGGGAGATGCAACGTGTATTCTTCACCCCAGAAAGGATTAAGGTTCTTCCACACTGTGGCCGTCCTGAAAAGAGAAGTTTACCATGCTTACTATCAGCAGCCCTGGAGCAGACACATATCACATTAACGTGCGCAAAAACAGAAACGTGCAAGATTCTTTCTTTGTTTCCATTTATATAGATGTTAATTTTGTGATATGCACTAAATATAAATATTAAAATGGGAGAATCGTCCTCTCCTCAAACTATTCTTTTTTTTTTTTTTTTTGCCTGTCCCGTTTGGCTCTTTTGCCATCAGAATTGTTGTCTAAAGGCAAAGAAAGATGCCCAACGGATTTACTTTACCAAATTGACCATCCCAGCCTTGCCATAATGGTCCATTTGATTCACCTTTTATTGTTTATTTTATTTTCACTTACTGAATACGGGACAGACTTGACTGGGGGAAAGAAGGGGAGAAAGAAAGAGGGAAAGAGAAACAGCTGAGAAGAGGGACGGGGGAGAAGGGCAAAAAACAAAAACCAACAGAATGGGCAGAAAAAAAAAGAAAAAGAAAATGCATATATCGATCACCTGGATCACCTGTTGAGAAAGAAAAAAGAAAACAAGCAGAAGAGAACAAGAGTAATAGAATAAACAACATCACAATGATATATGGGAATATGACAGTAAATACTAAATATTAAACATTATTGTGCAGCACATAAGATCAACAGAACACAGTGTGCTTTGAGGTAGGAGCCAAAAAGGGTGTAGTTTGTGGGTGTGATCACCCGTGTGTACACCTGTGAGCATGGACGCGCTTGTTTTTTTTAAAAGGTTCCTTCATGTAATGATCTGCTAGAGGGTGTGGGGGGGCCACAGCCCCGTCCTCCAGGGCATGAAGCAGGTATGGAGGAGATCAAGACTTCAGACATCCAGAGGCCCCCAGAACACAAGAGACCAAGGAAGACCAACAGAGGGGCAGCCGTGCCACTGTCCCAGAAAGAGCTGAGGAGAGTCCCAGATGAGGGCTCACTCAGCAGCCGCGGAGCAGAAGCCAGGGGGAGTTGCAGTGACGCGCCCGTGAGCTCCGCCGGCAGCCAGCTGTGCCTGAGTGACCGAGCCCCAGGCCGAGAGGCCGGGGGCACCCCACCTCCGAAGTGGCCCAAGCGAGCCCCAGGCTCCAGGCCCCGATAAGCGGCCGCCAAGGAGTGAGCCGGTGTGTACCTGGACGCCCATCCCCAGACACAAAGAACCACCAGCGCACCGATGTCTGAGGGAGTCCGCCACTGGCAGGGGAAGTGGTGGTGGGGGGAGATAGGCCTCCAAACCTTGGAGGGCCTGAGATGTCCCCAGAGAGGTGGCGTCTGATACCCAACCTGACATATAGACACAGACATACAGGCACACACAGATACAAACATCCATTCCCACCCTCATGCTCTCATATGCACTTACTCCACACTCAACCAACGTGGAGACAGACATAAAGAGACGCTGTACACACGATCACACTCCCCAAGCATATTCTACGAACCGGGTCTAGGTACCCTTGCCCCTAGAGGGGGGAACTGCACCCAGACCCAGGTGGTGTTACCCTTTTCCCTGCGGTGGGGAGAGGCAGACCGCCCCGACTCCGCAGCAGCAGGGAGGCCCCACACTCCAGACCGCAGTCGGACGGTCAACTCCTCCTCCTCAAACTATTCTCAACTTAGTGATGTACAGTTATTGTTAGTGTCAGGTGTGATAAAAAAAAAAAAAAAGGTTAGAAAATCCAGCTGTTTCAAAATGATAGCAAGCTATAAGATTCTTGGATTTTTGAAAAGGTCATCTAAGGATTCTGTTGAAGCCAAAACAAACACTTAAAATGGTCAGATCTGTGCAGCAGCCACAGTTTGACTCTGACCTGAGGCCCTTTGCTGCTCGTCTTCCTGCTTTCCTGTCCACTCTGCAATCCAATAAAGGCAAAAAAAAAAGCCTTAAAAATCCTGCTTGTTTTTTTTTAATGGTCAGATTCATAATTTTGTGTGTTTATTCTTATCACTAGTTATGTTTTTGAATCCTGATTTTTGTAATTTTGCAATTAGGCAAGATTTTGCAGGATGTGCTTTGAAATGAATGTCCTTTGATCTACTTGTTTTTTAAAGGCATTTCTGGGGAAAAGTTTGATATTTTTTAATAAAAACAAGCAAATTGCTAGCTTTTTGAGAAATACTTTTGAATCAAAACCATTCATACATCATCCTGCCAAAATGGCCTAACCCTTCATTATTACCACCAACTTTTCTCTAGTGTACCAAAATCTAGCAGCTGCATCATTTATGAACATTACACTCAGAGGCCAGTAACACTACAAGTGCAACATAATTAGTGTGAGCATCTTCAGTGAATCATTGTGCTGTTTTTTCCCCTCACCACCCCAGATGGAACAATACCCACTAAATTTCACCCCGTGTTCTTGTGAAAGTCCACAGCAAAGCAGTTTCTCTAAAGAAATTTGCTTTGCAAAGCAAACAATCCTGCAGTTTACTACAGCTGCTTTCTAAAACTACCATCTTCTGTCTGAACAGCTTGGAGGTTGAAATCATGTGCATGTCTTCACCCAATCTGAAACCACCTCTAAAATGGTGTATTCTGCTCTGAGCTCCCAGCATTCACCTGGCTTACACCGGGTGCTCACTGCAATAATTGATGCACCCTCTCCATGGTTACCTGTGGGTGTTTTAAAGGCCAGACCAGTATCAGGTTCTCTGTGATGGAAGGACCACGCTGTGGGTACCACAGCACTGATCACACGCACTCCACCCTGGTTTACATGTGCACAGTAGCGGGAGCACAGCCAGAAACTAATGTAAATATATGAAGTGTGATGACTCAGATCGCAGCATATAGATAAGAACATCATCCAGCTGCAGGTCTGGATAAAACACAGTTAATTTACGTTTATCGTGCACATCTTAATAAAATTAAGAGAGAACTCACCTGGCCACAACTTCATTGTCAACTTTTACAATGCAGTATGGATCACTGGTTCCGGAGCTTAACGTGACAAAGAAAAAAATTACAGAATGAGACAAAGCATGGCCAGTTTACCTGGGGGTAAGCTTAATTTAATCTTCCCTCGTCTTTAATTATACTCAGGTCAATTTGACTATCTCTACTCTAATTCAATTAGCTAATTTACAGGAAAGAGCGCACCAGAAATGGCTATATGACATTTTTTTTTCTTATTTGACAAATAGCTAAGAAACAATGCAGAGGCTGTGTATATTTTAGTAGATAAGACCTGAGCACAGAAGCATGCCATTCAGAAATTACTTACACGTCTTTGGCCGGGAGGTTTCTGCCCTCGACAATTCGAAAATAAAGAGATGTGTTTTTGGCCATGTTAATCGTATGAACCACTAATCCAGTTTCTCCTGTGCTCCCATACGCGCTGTTATAAACAGTGCTCTTCCCCTCCGCAAGAGAGTTTTCTTCGTTTCATGACACCTTCAGCTCGTGACGGCGCACTGCCCACCAAGCAGCGCGCGACACAGGCGCGCCTCGCGTCCAGCCAGCTGAGGTTAAACGTCACGGGTCACGGCGTGTGCACCGCAGCTGGGTATTTAAGCTCTTATTTTACATTAGGTGTTCAATATGAATAAACGTAATTGAAAGAATTGCATTTAAAAAATAATCTTCATATGGGACATAGCGTATAGTCTTTAACTGACATCATTGTATTTATGTACTCAGTCATGTTAATTTGTCATGGTCTGAAATGTAATATCATATCTGATAAGTAGCCTATAAGAAGCGTCTCTTTTTTTATACAAAGCGCCACCTAGCGTGCATATTTAACTATTTCATGCGCAATTATAGACAGGCATCTCGAAAGTCGCCAATAGGGGTCCTAGTTAGCTTGGTTAGAAGTCTTAACAGCTCAAAACTAGTCTGTTTCGTTTTCTTAAAGTGACTTAGTAAGTTTAGCACGCTTTTGTGCACACACGAAGCTCATTAGATACAAATTAGCCTCCTGTATATAAGTTATATTATTTACTTCTAGAAAAAATGTAAATATAGAAGCGTAATTTGTCGATGTTGTTACTGTTAGCTAACTGAGTCCGTGCTGCTCTCATCTTTCCAGATGAAGAGATGGACGGTTATCCCGGTGTCACTGGGGGGGATTCTACACAACAACAAGAAAGACATTACTACCTGTTATCTGAACTGCAAACACTGGTCAAAGGCTTGCCGAGGTATCGTTACTTCCTCCACCGGCTTTAGAATATTGCTGTGATATGAAGGGGCACCTTTTTTAAAGCTGTGTAACTGATCTCTAGATGATTTATTTCTTGTTTTGCTTTTTCCTCCGTGGTTAGCTCCTTTCAGCAGCGCCTGTCTTACAACACGCTGAGTGACCTTGCTCTAGCCCTTATAGACGGGACGGTATATGAGATTGTCCAGGGCCTGCTGGATATACAGCATCTGACAGAGAAGAATCTCTACAATCAGAGACAGAAGCTGCACTGTGAACACCAAGGTTTGTGGACTGCTGAACAGGAAACGCACAGGACACGTCCCCTGTTCCAGCTTAGCTGGTTTTCATCTTGTCTGATGATGTTTGACAACTTTTCAACCACATTCCACAGAAAACGACTCCTGCGTAGTCCAGAGATGTTACCATAAAATACCATATACCTATAAAATGCAACACTGTTGTAAAAAGGACACATAACTAATGCTGTAGCAAATTAATCTATTTATACTACAGGCCTCTATACTATGAAGCAGGATTTTGTCTTATTCTGGTTACTTAAGTGTTTTTTTGTGTTGGTTGCAAACATCTTTTCAACATTGTTATTCTATAAACATTAATGTGTCCTAAAATAGAGCACCAATTTGTACTTAGAGAGCTTATATCAAATTTATGCAGGCTAAGCCTAAATTCTCTTTTTATATTTATTCTTTTCTCTTAGACCATGTCTTTTAAATATTAATTTAATGAAGAACTTAATTATAATCCATCAGAGTTGTTACATTGATAATTCTGTTAACTCACACAGTGTGCATTTTTGCCTGCTTTCTTTCTTGGCTAAAATAGACTAAACATCTTTAATATGACTGCTCTTTTCCAGCTCTTTTTCAGTTTACTCCTATAATCCTATATTACTTTACAGTGCATTTCCCCATACTGCTGTGTTGCTTTCAGTCTGAATTGTGTGTTTAACCTGGTCATAGTTTTACAATTAGTCATTCTGTCGCCAGTACACTTATCAATTCGTGTGATCAGTCAGATGGCACCAACTTTCATGTTAATGCACAGAGCAAATAATGCATTAGTGAGTTGATAACAACATTCACGACTGATTATCTTGATTGCCAGTGTTAGGGTAAGAGCAGCCAGAGAACAGAAAGATACCCTGGGTATGTTGAACTCACTTCATAGTACAGAAAAACTATGACAGAAGTTAAAAATGACAAAACATTTAAAACCAATATTAGTATTTGTGGGATTATTACCCTTAATTTTAGAAAATATATGTATATAAAAAATTTATATATTAAACATAAAGTCAAAGATAAAGAGGGGTTCGAACTCAGATTAGAGCCACTACTCCTTCAGATTGAAAAGAGCCAGTTAATGTGGTTCGGCCTCCTGGGTGAGGTGTTCCTGGCATGTCCTACTGGGAGGAGGCCCCATGCAGACCCAGGACATTCTGGAGTCTCAGCTGGCAAGGGAACACTTTGGTGTTCCTTTGGAAAAGCTGTAGGAGGTGGCCAGGGAGAGGGAGGTCTGGGCTTCGCTGCTTAGGCTGTTGCCTCCTATCGATGGATGGATGGATATTTTTATACACATACCACTTGATAAATTCAAACACACTATTAATGAGGTATTCCACCAAACATTAAACACATGCAAGACAGCACCTCTGTAAACTCACAAACTGTGGGTTTGTGGGTTCACAAAAAACTCACTAAGCATACAAACTAGCATAAATATAGTGATGGTTTGATGAAGTCCTGTGTGGAATCTTTCAGTTGCTTCACCAAAGGGCAAATGACACTAAGCCCTGTTCAAAAGCTCAAGTGCTGACATCTGCTGGTCATTCAATGTACAGCAGCCCTGCTGTGATAATACATGTGGGCTACATAACAGTCGATATATAAATGTAATGATGTATCAATGCAAAATACCTACATGAGGTCCTGTGTGTGCGTATGTATGTGTAGAGAGAGAGAGAATACCTCTAACTAACCATGCTCTCTGAGATTAATGTAAGATGTATGTTATTATTGGGAGATATGATATCGCCTTTTTCCCTAATGTGCTTACAATCTCCTTGCAAGTTTGTGATGATCCTCAGAATCACCCCAGATCCAGTTCACGCAAAAAAAAAATTAAAAAAATTCCTGCGTCTTTTCAACAGCTTGAATCACATAATGAGACACTCGCGTCACATCAGAGAAATGGGCCCTCGTTTATCTTTGGTCATGTGATATTCTGAAGAGTGGTACAGGCCTTGACATGGGCTTCATTTGGACACACCTCCTTAGTCGACACAGGCCTCCAGGCTTCAGTTTCAGACATACCAGCCCTACAGAAATGAGAAAAGGTTGAGAAAAAATGATCCTATAAGTGTTGTATTTGTAATAGGGCTGCCATGATTAGTCGACTAGTAACGATTACGTCGACTATTAAAATCGTCGACAACTAATTTAATAGTCGACTTGTCGTTTGAAGCTTTGTAAGATCCCAAACGACGCAGGAATAAGTAGAAGTATTTAAGGGTGTAATAACGGACTGAAGCAGAAGATGGCAGCACTGCATGTACAAGGATGCCAGCTGCCGTTAAACCTCGAAGAAGAAGAAGCTGTGTCCCAGAATTTGTAGCGCGGCCCTACTCAGTTGTCAACAATGGCGGCAGCTAGTTAGTTTTTATGTTACTCATATTATTTTTTCTGGGTCACAAAATAAACGTTTATGTATTTTCAGGCGAGAATGTTACCAAATATCTGCTCAGTTTATCAAGACACCACATATTTTCAAAAGTGCTCCGACGTGGGTAACAGACGTCTCACCAGCTCGATAGCAAGCCGGGGTTCAAGGCTCACTAGAGCCGTGAGAACACCGGACTCCCAGCAAATCGTTTTCAAACCCACCGCCGTCTTTCGCTACTCAGGTTAAACATGTAATATAAGTCACTTAGATAACTTAAAAATGTTACTGTTTGGTATTTTTAGTATTTTATTTATTCCTGAGTAAATCGGTTTGGCTGAGATTAAATTTATAGTTTTTACACAGCTGAATAAACGTCAAGCAGACAACTGATTATCAGAAGTGTGAGATGCGCGAGAATATACTCCGGTGTCCTGTTATATTTTAGATAGCAATGAGCAACGGCTGAGTTTATTAAACTCCACCGAAACAATCTGCAAATGTCATTAAAATTTAATAAACTATCATCTTGTCTTTATTTTTAGTTAGCACATATCTTAAACACTTAAAGCTGTAAGCTAATGATAGTTATATAAGAGCAGATGCATGCTGGTGCAATAAGATGTAGGTTTTACGTCCAATAGATGCATGGTCTGATTAGTCGACTAATCGCAAAAATAATCGGGGACTAGTCGACTATCAAAATAATCGTTTGTGGCAGCCCTAATTTGTAAAGAACTCTTGCTACAGATGTCCAACACTGAGTGAATGACACGCACCAAACCATGGCCATAGGCGAGGCTTATGTTACTTATGAAAACACAAAGCATCTATCAGGTGAAAATATGTAGGCTAGTTCATACAAATTGGAATAATTTATTTCCATGAGGTCGACTGCACTTGTGATGCAGCTCAATTTTAGGTCTGTTTTAAGGGATCAGCAGGTCGTCATCTGAAGATAATGACGTGGATTTGGCATGAACTGTTCATGTCAACCCTTGCCTCATACGTCTTTCCTCATGTTGTACATTTTCCATTGTTATACCTCTGACCTGTCTTCCCCATGTGATGTTGTAATGTATGAATGGTCGGAAGGGTAAGATGGCGCTGGCAAAGGTCGGCAGCCTTAACCCAACAAATTTTCCACTCGTGGGACTAATAAAGGTTATCTTATCTTATCTTATGACCTATGCTGCTATTACACAATGACAAAACTGCAGACAGTGACTTCAGGAACATAGAGAGGGAAATATATAAAGAGTTGTCACCTGTTCACAGGAACACCATTTAAACTGGAACGCCCGCCATTCCTGTTGTCTGGTATTTGTTGATTAACATCACTAACTTCCCCTGAAATTCACCGGTGCGGCAGGTATTACAGTTGCTTCTTGGGAAAGGAAACCTTAATCTGTTGATTAACTGGTTCTCTTTTGTGTGCAGCACTCAAACAAGACCTTGCACGAAAACACAAAGATGCCCTGCAGTCATGTAAGTCTCACAACCTTGTGCTGCTCAAGGCAAACCAACAAGCCGAGCTAGAGGTAAGCACTGAAATTCTAACATCTCTGCTTACTGAATGGTATTGCTCTATGCTTTTAGTTTACAGCTTTGTGTTGTTGTATCAGGCTCTGGACGTTCGTGTGCGAGAGGAACAAAAAATGATGGATAAGAAGATCGTAGCAGAAATGGATCAAAAAGTGATAGACCAGCAAAACACGCTCGAGAAAGCAGGAGTCCCTGGGTTTTACATCACTACTAATCCTCAGGTTAGTTAGCTAATGACTAAAATGTATACTGAGCCCTCAAATACAGGTGGAGCTGTACTTTGTGACAGAGCAGAAGGCTGACACTAGCTGCTCTTCAAACTCTGTGTGTTTCAGGAGCTGACAATGCAGATGAACCTACTTGAATTGATGCTTAAGCTTCAACAGAAGGAGTCTCAATCTGGACTTCTATGAGGAGGATGATAGAGCAACCTATTTGTGCCAAACAAAACTGAGAAAAATTGGTCAAAATCCAGTAACCGTGATCTGCCCCTGGGGTCGGCGAACATACAACACTCCTGTCTTCTAAGAAGTGGCAATTTCAGACGCATGCTCCGAGTGCTCTAATCATCAGTGTCATGTGGAAAAAAGCTGCTTTCGAAGTATTGAAGTGAGACGTTGCAAGACACAGTGAAGCGGTAGCAGGCTGTCATAGCTTAAATATCACAGCCTGTAAGAAATTAAGAAGGTGTTTTGTTATTAATCATTTAAACGGGTTTACCAGCCCTGACATGGGGACACGAGAGCCCCCCGAGACGCATTAATTCAACACTTGAAGTCAAAGGAGAAGTTTTGCTGATTTACAGAGAAGTAACTCTGAGCAACAACGTATTGCTTTCTGTCAAGAAAATTAGTTATTTGATGTTTCTTTATGATATTTATTTAAAATGCGTAAATAGAAACACGCTTTGAAGTGTTGTCAGTTTGACTGTTCTGTTTTTTTAAGCAACTTTATTTGAGCATTACTGTAATAGTTCCTACACTGTCATGTGTTTTTGTGGCTGTTCTGTTTGTTTCAATTATTTTGTATTATTGGAGAAATATATTCATGGTTATTATAACTGAATACATGAATAACGTAATCCATGAATAAATAAAAGTGCAGCCTAGCAGAATTAATGATTGCCTTAAGTTGTTTTTTTTTATTGTTATTTTTTTGTTAGTTTTGTTTTTTGTCCTAAGGTCTAACATCAACTATCATCCATCATGTTATGATGCTGTATCAAGGTTTCATTTTAATGTTAACTACACACTCAGTATGCGACCATGGTAACAAACTGTATACAGGCAACAACAACAAAAAATGCCTACACAAACAAAAAATGATACACACATTTTGAGAGGAGCTCAAAAGGAAAAAAAGATACCAGAATAGGGACGATACCCCCAGTTTTTTCCTTTATTTCCAGTTCCCCCATTCTCATGGATCAGACGCTTAATCATACAGTTTTATTTGAATTTTCAGCTTTTTCAGTTGTGTTTTACTGGCTACATACATGCACATAGTAAATTTATCTGTCATGTAACCATAGGGACCCCCACCCCCCCCGGGAACCCTGTGGATTGAAAAATGGGTGGAGCCCAGCGGGGAACCCCTTTCAGATGGAGCTGCGCCTTTAAGAAGCAGTCAGTCAGGGCAGTGCATGTTAGTTTTATTCGACTGTGCACCTTCTGCTCCATCACCAGACGATGTACGCCGGTAACTCGCCACAGCTCAGGACCCGCAGCAGCACCGATGACGCATCTTGAACAGCGACGGTAAAGCAATCGTTGACTTTTTTTTTTTTTAAATGGCATTGCGGTCGTTTATCATTACAAACGAAGCGTGGATCAGAAACTCACACCTATCTGTGGAAAGTGTGATGTAGCGCCGCATTTCGTCCACATCCAGGAGAGAGGCAGGGCGATGCACTGGTGTGATCCTCTCTCTGCCTGCGTTTCCATTTTGTTCTAAATTATTAATTTGGCATTTAAAAGGACGCACATTCAATCATCCGCCTGATCTTATTTCTGTTATTTGATGGTGGATAAGCACGCTTTTATACGTGTAATGTAAACGGCTGTGGTTGTAGTAGACAGCGGTCTTATTTGTAGAGGGGAATAAAGCGTTACGTAATTATAATGGAGGCATCCTGTTGTCGCCATATGCCGATCGAGGCCAGGAGTCGGATGTTGCACCGCCCAGAGCGATAGGAGAAATATCTGGAAGTACTGAAACAAAGACTAAATATATCAAAATAATCTGTAAATTTTTTTTCTTGCTCTCTTTTCCAACTCTGTTTGATGTTGTAATTTTACACATCAGTGATACCTTTTAGATGACGTGGACTGGCCCACCGTGTTAAGAGGGTAGTGCCACTCACTATAGACTCTTGGTTTAAAGGAGAAAAACATGAAAGTAAATTAAAAGGTAAAGATTTAAAGATATTACAAACATCTGGCTGGTGATCCTGGTTATCAGCTGGTATGAGATCTAAAGCATTTTGTTTTTATTGTAGAGCATAGGGTGACAAAATGTTGTGTATAAAAATGTAAGAAACTGAAGTTTGACTTCATGTATGTAACTTTTTTTTTGTCCAGTATCTCTATGACCCTTCTGTGATTGGGAGCAGGACCTATATTCAGATATGTTATGATTTTAAGCTGTATAAATGAAGATATTGTCAAATGTAAATGCAGGACCTTAAAAATCTCTATAGATAATATTTTTCAAGGACATGGACATCATTTCTTTAAAGGTACAGCTTGAAAGAGAACTTTGCGTCCAAAGTGGCATTGCACACATAGTATGCATCAGCTGATTTGTGAAAAATACATATTTAGTCACGAAATGCAAATTGCTTTTTTACAGGTCCTCTTCATAAGCAGGTAATGGATCCAGTGTGACTGCTGCGCCACTATCCTGCCCAGCTGGCCTGCCTAACCCTTTAGCTATGGCAACCTGTCCGAGAGGCTGTGCGCCAGCGGTGCGCCTTTGTCAGAAACTGAACCGCCTCAAGACACTAGAAGATGACATGATGGCCACGTCCCTCAAACGCTGCCTCTCCACCCTGGACCTGACACTGATGGGTGTCGGTGGAATGGTGGGCTCTGGCTTGTATGTTCTGACAGGAACGGTGGCCAAAGACACAGCCGGGCCCGCTGTCATCATATCTTTCGTCTTCGCAGGTATAGCTTCCTTATTGGCTGCCTTTTGCTACGCTGAGTTCGGAGCGCGCATCCCCAAAACGGGATCCGCCTACATGTTTACTTATGTCTCTGTGGGGGAGTTGTGGGCCTTTCTCATTGGCTGGAATGTGATTCTGGAGAACATGATCGGTGGGGCTGCGGTGGCTCGTGCCTGGAGCGGCTATCTAGACTCAATTTTTAACCACGCCATCCAGAATTTCACAGAGACGCACATTATGCAGTGGAACGTTCCCTTCCTCGCGCATTACCCTGACCTGCTCGCGGCAGGAATTCTGGTGGTTGCCTCATTTTTCATTTCCTTTGGCGTCCAAGTGTCCTCTTACCTCAACCACATCTTCTCCACCGTTAGTATGGGGGTTATTGTTTTCATCCTGGTCTTTGGCTTTGTGCTCGCTGAGCCAGCCAATTGGAGCCAGGAGCAAGGGGGCTTTGCACCTTACGGCATGTCGGGAATACTGGCAGGTTCGGCTACATGTTTCTATGCATTTGTGGGCTTTGATGTAATTGCTTCCTCAAGTGAGGAGGCAAAGAATCCACAGAAGGCCGTTCCTATCGCCACTGCTATCTCCCTTGGATTGGCAGCAACAGCCTACATCCTGGTCTCCACAGTGCTTACGCTGATGGTACCCTGGCATACACTGGACCCCAACTCGGCTCTGGCAGATGCCTTTTTCCGCCGTGGTTATAGTTGGGCTGGAATTGTTGTGGCAGTCGGTTCCATATGTGGTGAGTTTGATTTAAATGCTTGTTGGTGCATTGTGTTTACCAGGTGTATTGATTTATCAGTGCCATATTTTGACTTGTGTCCTCTTTGTTCCACTTTCTAGCCATGAACACTGTGCTGCTCTGTAATCTCTTCTCCCTCCCTCGGATTGTGTATGCCATGGCAGAGGACGGATTGTTCTTCTCCATTTTTGCAAGAGTCAATCCCATCACCAAGGTTCCTGTTAATGCTATTCTGGTGTTTGGAATCCTCATGGCCACCATGGCTCTCATCTTTGACCTGGAGGCCTTGGTTCAGTTCTTGTCCATCGGAACTCTCCTGGCTTACACCTTCGTGGCAGCGAGTGTTATCGTGCTGCGCTTCCAGCCCGAGAAAACCAGCTCCAAGGGAACGCCTTCTACATCTCCTATCCCCAACAACGAGCCTTCTCCTGCCCCCTTGGAATCTCAGACCATATCTGAGGACAGCGAGGAGCCAAAGCAGTACGAGTCCTTCTCAGACAAACTCCAGTTGGTAGAAAGGCAGAAGCAAAAAGAGAGGCGTGGCGTGGGGCAGCTGAAGGCGTGCTGGGAGCCGTACCTGGACAGGCTGCTGGGGGACTGTGAGCCCGGTGAAGTGGTGGCCTTCTGTGTGCTCACTTTGATAGTGAGCTCGGTGTCCCTCTGTGTTGTGCTAGAATTTGGAAAGAAACAGCTGCAGCTGCCATTGTGGAGCTTCACAATGCTTCTGGTGATTTTTAGCTTAGCCTACATTCTCAGCCTTGCTATTATATGGGTCCATGAGCCACAAAGAAACAACAAAACATTCCAGGTGAGCTTTTATAGACATTCTCAAGTCTATATTAAAAAGAAGGAAAAACTGTACTGCTTAGAGATTGACAGAGTGTTTATTTTTATATAGGTACCTCTGGTTCCATTGACTCCAGGTGCCAGTATCCTCTTTAATGTATTCCTCATGATGAAGCTCAGCCTTCTAACCTGGATTCGATTCACTGTGTGGATTGCCATAGGTAAGAGGACATCAGAACTTATGCAGAAAATATTGGGGCCACTAAAAGATTTCAGTATATTCCTCCAAAAATATATATTTTTGCCCAACTTAAACTTTGGGCAAATAGATTTACTTTTACACAGCCGGCTCATGCAACTATCTATCCGCACAAACAGTGGCCGTCTGTGTTATCTCAGGAAGTAGTTTGAATACGCTACCATAAAACATCTGCCTTTTGTTTCAGGTGAACTTAATGCAACCTACCCAAGTTTTACAATAAAAGGCTGGTAATAAAAGATCTTCTGTTCTCTTAGGAAGCAGAAAACCTTTTATTATCAGTCCTCTGCAGATGTAGGCGCTGGACAAACAGCTTTTTGATGTCCGTCTGTCAGTGGGAATCACTTGGGAAGCGTAATTAGCTGTATTAGCTTAAGGCTTCTCTGGGCCACTAAACTGTTTAAACTTCCCTGTCACACTGTTGCAAGTTAACAAGATACACACATGTGGGATATTACTGTTGACAGGGCTTCTGGCTAAATTCTCACTCCCTTGAGGCAGGAATGGATACTTATCTCCCATAATGTAATTATGGAGTGTTATTTTTTTTTTTTTTTAAATTTAACTCAAAAGTACTCTTTTGCTAAAGTACTATTCATAATATTAGGCTATTTATCATTACTGGTTCACTGATGTAACTATTACATCAGAGGAAAAGCAGAATGGCAGAAGTCAACTTTTCAATCCGCTCCCTTTACTTACAGTTGGAGAAATACTTATTTGAATCCCTGCAGAATTTCTAAGTTTGATCACTTAAACAGTATCTCATTTTTATGCTTTGTCCAGAAAAAGAACACATTACACAAAACTTGTAAATTGATTTGTGTGTCGTTGCGT